TGGGCCACCTCTCTGAGAGATCCAGACCCTTCATCTATGAATGAGCTAAAACCAGCCCATGCCCACTGGCAGACAAGCCTCCCATGGAAGAGCATGTCTGCCATGTAGAGCTGGCATGGAGCCCTTGCCTCCACTGCCTGTCCTGGAGACCAAGGTAGGGCTGGCAACATGCATTGTTCTTGGTCTACAGCAGAGTCGGGGCACCCCTGCGCCCCCACACTGGCTCTGCCCGGGAAAGAAGGTGGGGCAGGAGGGCCTGTGAGCCGAGTCCCAGGTCAAGACTCCAGGCCAGGCTGATCTCTCCCTAGGGAACCTGAGTCCACTGGCCCAGCTCTGCGGGCCTCTCCCTTCCAGCGTGGCCCGGAGTCTAAGGCAGGCATACTGCCAGGTCCCTTGGTATGCCCAGTTCCTAAGGAGGCAGCTTCTGGGAAAAGCTCAGGTACCAACCACCCAGTGTGAGCCCAGGCAGGAAACCCTGTGTGCTAAACACACAGCGTGCACGCAAGTCTAAGGCAGGCATACTGCCAGGTCCCTTGGTATGCCCAGTTCCTAAGGAGGCAGCTTCCGGGAAAAACTCAGATACCAACCACCCAGTGTGAGCCCAGGCAGGAAGCCCTGCGTGCTAAACACACAGTGTGCGCGCACGCATACACACACACACACACACACACACACACACACACACACACACACGGAGACCCTGGATCATCAGGCTCCCAGATTCTGCCCCCAGTCCCTTCCATCTTCTTAGAATAACCAAACTCTACTCCTGCCACCAGTGGCCCCCTCCACTCCCGCCTCTCACCCGCCTCATTCTCTGTGGTCTTGCATGACCACACTGTCTGTAACAAGGAACTATCCACTGCCTCCATTATTTGGAAAACAGCAGCCCAGGGACCATTTAATCCTCCCACCACTCTAGTCCTTCTTTGCAACTGGAGGGCCTAGGTTCCAATCCCAGATCACCTAAGTAGGAGCTTGTGACTTGGTGGGACTAAGTGTGCTCCTTGGCACTAAGCACATCCTCCACCTGCTACTGTAGACCTGCTTGGCAGGCCACTGCCCTCTATCCCAGCTCCCTGGCACTGATGAGGACCAGTCCCCTGTTACAGGTACCTACTCAAGCCATACAGCATAGGAGGCAGGACTCTAATCCAGCCTGCATACCGACCTGCAGTGTGTCACCTATGAATACCCACTGTATACCAGAGGCTGCACACATCTGGCTCCTTCTGATGACAGAACTCCAGCCAGTGAGTGAAAACAAGGCAAAAATGAGAAGGGTACAGGATGCAGAGGGGAGGGGAAGGGGCCTAAGTCATCAGAGCATCAAGCTCTCCTGTTGATCAGGTTGGACAATATTCCCAACCCAAGTTTTACATCCACTCAGAAGTTATGCATGGGGCTTGATTTAGACAAAAGGCTTTGTGGCCATGATGGAACCAACACAGGGTCATTCTGCATGAATGGATCTGCGTAAGAAGCAAACCAGTGGCCTGACCTGGTGGCACACACCTTTAATCCCAGTACTTAAGAAGTAGAGGCAGGCCATCTCTATGAATTCAAGGTCAGCCTGGTCTACAGAGCACATTCCAGGCCAACCAAGGCTACATAGTAAGACCCTGTCTCCAAAAGAAAAAAAGAAAGAGAAGTACAAGGAAGAGGCCACGAGAGGGTGGAGGCCAGCAGAGCGGAGCTAACTCTAGGGGCTGGGTGTGGGGATAGAGCCCTCCTTGATCCCTGGGATAACATGACCCTGTTCACCCTTCCACTTTGGATGTATCACCTCTAGAACAGTGAGAGAAGAAATTCCTATTGCTCTGAAGTCACCCAGTGACCATTTCTCGGGCTATAGATGTAAACAAGGCAGAGAAAGGCTGATTGACCATCTCTTGGGCTAAGTCTTTCTGTAGCTGTTCTTTACAGCTCGGCTATGAAGATGCTCCAGTGACTCTGGGAATACCTGGCTGCTTATCTGTCTGGATTCCCTGAGAGCAGGGGGCCTGGCTCACTTTAAGCTTCTACGCTGACCCAAAAAGATGGGCAAGTGCCTTCTACCTGGGGCACAGTTGGCTGAGGGTCATTTTCCCCACTCTGAGTTGTCAGCACTAGCTCAGCAGAGGGCTCTGGAACATTCCTAGCCTCTCACCCCCACTAGCTGTGGAGAAGCTATGGAGGGCTATGTGCACCTGCCTCCCCACCCCCGCTGCCGGAACACTGCCATCAGCAGCCTCTGTGAGTGAGCGCAGTAATTGTCCAGATTGCTGTAATTCACAGCAGTGCGCCGGCGCATAGCCTTATTTCAAATGTCACTGAGCAGGGCTGTACACACGGCCCCCAGGATCACTAGGGATGAGCTCCTGGCCCTCCCTGCAGGCCCCAACCTTGAGAAAACAGCAGGGCGCTCCATCCCAGCTGGTGAGTCATCCCACCCTCCTCCCACCTTCTCATCTGCCCTTCCAGAATGGAGAGAGCAGCTCCAGGTGTCAGGCAACAGGCATGAGACAAGCAGAGTGAGGGTGGCTGGGACTGCAGGACATACAGAGGGTTGGAGGGACACCCAAATGAGCGCCTGCCCTGGGCAATTGCACAATCAGTACACCGAGACCCCAGGACTGCATGTGGATAAAAGCAGGGGTGCCTACAGCAACATGTAATGGGGGGAACAACCTGCCTATCTGTTGCCAAATGGTGAAGTGGGGGCCACATTTGACACAGTTCACACAGCCCTGCAGTGCTACATGAGGAAACCTAAAAACACTGTGCTAAGTGAGTCCAGCCAGGCATAGCGAACACAGCGGCACGACCCATTCCTGAAGTACCAGGATGACCAGTCACAGACCAGTAGTGCATTAGTACTGCCACACCCTAAGGCTGATGGATAATGGGTACAGGATTTCCATCTGGAGTGATGGAAAGTTCTAGCACCCCACCACTGTGGGTATGTGTAGGTTTCTGGCTTAAAATTTTTTTTTTTTTTGAAACAAGGTCTCCCTGTAGCTTCAGCTGGCCTAGAACCCACTATGTAAATCAGGCTAACCTTGATCTCAGAGATCCACCTGCCTCTGTCTCCCCAGTGCTGGGATTTAAGGCACATACCACCAAACCTGATGGTTTTTTGTTTTGTTTTTTAAAGACAGAGTCTCATGTAGTCCAGGCTAACCTCCCACTTGTTATGTAGCAGAAGATGACAGGTGTGCACCATCATGCCCAGGTTAAAAGTTCCCTTTCCAATGGTCAATCCTGTTACATGTACTTTACTGAGATTAAACCAAGGAGAATCACATCATCACATGAAGTCTCTTTTGGATTCACACCATTGAAACCACACAAAAGACAAAGAACTGATGACATGCCCCCTGGGGTGGGCTGACTGCACACTGTGCCCAGCTGGCTAGAGACACTGCCTGGGCCCTCACTTTCATGGAACCCTGAGAACAGATGCCTTCACTCTTCTTTCTGAATGGGTTCTGCCACTAGGCCAGGTCCACCTTTGGGCTTCAAAGGGGAGGAACAGCTCCAGGTGAGGGAGGGATGCAGTCAGGAAGGACAGGGATACAGGGGGAAAGTCAGGGCCATTGAGCATTCATAGTTTAGTGGCTGCCTTGGGTGGTGCCAGGCTGGCCCATGAGACTCTCAGAAAACCCCTGGGATGGGGAGGAGCAGGCTTCATGACCTGAGCTCCAGCTAGCAGTGACAGGGACATACCAATCCTCCTGTGCCAGAGCACCTTATTAAAAAAAAAAAAACAAAACACTGGTTTCCATCAGGCACATCATGGCCTGGACACAAGCAGCTGCACATCACACGGCAGGTGCAGGGCCTGGGCAGAGTCTCAAGGACAAGGGACAGGAAGCCTGGGCTGGCTCCTGGTCCCCTGCTCACTAGCTCTGGAACTGCAGGAGACTCTCAGCCTTGGCTCAGTTCCCTGTCCATGGTACAGGGACAGGGACAGGACCTACCTCTCACAGAGGACAGGGACAGTCAACAACTAAAGCAGAACTCAGATGCAGTTCTCACAGCCCAGCACTGTACCCAAGTGGGCAGATGACTATGGAGTTGTGGAGCAGGGACAGACATTCACAGCCCTGAGTGACAGCAGCCTACTCTGGAACCCTCAGACAAAGTCACCCATCCAACGACCCTCAGTCTGACTCTATAGCCATCCTGAATGGTGCTCCTGTTTTACAGATGGGTAAACTGAGGCTCAGAGATGGGTCACTGAGCTAGGAAATGAAGAGGTCAGCCATGCCAAATGTGGTTTCCAGGGAGGTCAATAATAATGTCACCAGGGAATGGCCACCTCCCCACCAACCCCCATCCTACTCCCAAGAAGATGTGCTCTCTATGGTCTGGTCCTGTTGTCAGGGCTCAGGTGCTGGGCATAGGTATTCTATCTAGCCAGCAGGGGGAAGCTGTGAGGAGCCAGTCCTGGGGACTGCCACAGCATAGTCCAGCTCACCATACCACATGTCATAAGGTCACCAGCAACCTGACACCAACACCAGCAGCTCCCTGAATTCAGAAATTCAGGGTCACCCTTGCGATGTGGACAACGCTCATGACTGTCCACAAGGATGCAGTCTCATGCACTGTGGACACACCAATGAGGCCCAGGCATGGGACCTTCAGAGCTGCACTTTGTGTAAGAGTTGCATTCTCGTGTGAAGATAAAAGCCCCACAGTGCCAGAGACCTGTGGCCCTGGCTGATAGCCAGTGAGGCCAACCCCCACAGCCACCCTGACAACTGTCCCTCAAGGTCCAGCAGAGCTAGCCACTGGTACACCCAATCCACAGGCTCCTAAGCCTTCTTGACTTTAGTCACAACCCACCACTAGCAGAACAGATCCATTCTCTGGAAGTTCCCACTGAGGATCAGATGAGCCATGGCTCATCTGAGAACTTGGGGCCCTTGCTCTAGGCTAAACGCCCTTGGAAGACACCCATTCTAGTGCATAGGGACAAACTCAGGTGCATCTCGCAACTTGTGGCACCTTACCTTTCTTGGCTGTCTCCATCTCCTCCTCAGTCCAGCGGGAACTCTCATTCATCTCCATGGAGGCTAGAAGGGAGATGAGGTAATTGGCTGGAGCTTGCTTGGACACTCCTGTGGTCTGCTCTGAGCCCCTTAACACAGCACTGATGCTCAGGCTGGTGGGCTAGGTGAGATGCTCTGCTCACGTGCCCTTACTCACAGCCCCCCACAACCCACTGTACCAAGAGGACCAGCCACCACCACCCGTTAACAGAAAAGGAACCTGAGATGGCCAAAGTCTAGGTGGTGACAGCTGTCTCTATACAAACTTTGCTGGAAAGGGGGTGGCCCACCTGGGAACATGGTCACAGTGTAAGGGAGGAGTAAGAGCAGGGGCTGTAGGCAGACAGGCCCCAAGGTTAGGGATAGAGCCAGATTGTGCAGAGCAGGCCATTTTGCCATCCCCGGGGCTCCACCCTCTATATGCCCAGAGTGCCACCCCAACTGTGACCATCAAAACAGCTCCCCAACACTGCCCATGGTCTCCTGGGTGAAGTCACTCTGGCCAGGGACTCCTGCTCTGCTGGTGGGTGTTACCAAGTCTCCCCAGCTTGTCTGGGGACAACGGGGCCCTGTTTGAAAGGACACAGTCAGTTAAGGGTTGAGCAGAGATGGCTTGTCTGGGTTACACACTACTCCAGGGTCTCTCCCCAGATGGCCTGTGGGGAGTCAGGCTGTGCTCTCCTGCTTGCTCAGGGCTCATGATAGGCAAGTGCCTGTTGAGGGATATCAGCTTTGCAGACAGCACACGGAACCATGCCGGGCACAATATGCTCCACAGAGCCTTAGGAAAGGAAATACAAGCAAGTAGCTATAGGTGGAGAGTGACAGACAGAGGTCAGGGCTGCATCACAGCAGACTTTCCATTCCTGTGGCTGAGCCCTGGGCATCTCCAAGGTGTCACCAACTCCCCTTTCCTTCTGAGGGCACTTATATAGGAGACTTTAAAAGCCAGGGTTGAAAGGTTCTGGAGCAGCCTGGGAGAGGCCTGGAGTGTGTGCTCTACGCTGCAGCCTAGTCCCAGCATGGGGGGCCGTAGAAAGCTGTCCCCAACATGAGGTGTGCCTGAATGCTTCTGAAGGAAACCTCTCACCCAGCCCCCAACCCTCCAAGAATACTGCTACCAAGAGGTAAGCTGGCACATGCCTATATGAGCCACATAGGATTCATAGCCATCAGGCAGAATCCCAGCTACAACTGTGACTTGAGAAAGCAACACTGGCTCCCAGCAGTCCATGCACAAAGTGAGTCCATACCACCTCTTGTTTGAGGGCCCAGGCAGACTCAGGGAGCCCCTAGTGGGATCTTGAGAAACAAAGTAGGTCCTGAATCACCCCACTTGGGAAGAGCCCAGACAGCCAAGTTGCCTTTAGCAGTAACAAGAGCAGAGATTGGGTGCACACCGATGCCCCTGGTGGTTGACCTGGGAAACTGCAGCTCGGTTCACCCCACTGCCTCCTCTCACTTTAGGGAGGGGAGCCTGGATGAAGCCCCTCCAGACAGGAAAGGAAACTGAGGCCCACAAAAGTACCACCTAAATACCCCCAGGGCAGAGGGCAGGTGCAGATCCTCAGCTGTGTCCTCCTAACATGTGTACCAGCTGTACCACCACCCTGTGGAAACAGTCACATGGTTCAATCTAGTTGACAAGGAACAGGCCTATGGATTTCTCAGCTTCTTCCTGGGCTGGAATAGGCATGGCTGCTAGCCCTGAGCTCTGCCCACACTCAGATTCTAGGCTCCTTGAATCCCTTACATTTTTGTTGGACATAACTTCATGATTTTTCTCTGGGCATGTGTGAATGTCAAGGCTCAGAGAGGGGAAGAACTGGTACTGGGGTCACACAGTGAACTCAGTAAACACCAGGATCTGAACCTCAGCCATGGCGACCCATGCCCTCAGCTGCAGGCAGTTAACTCCAATTTCATGGACTCTGCAGAGGCCAATCCTACTGTGTCCCAGTCCATCCAGCCCCCGCTCACCCAGTTCAGCACTCTGCTGTGGGGTGGCAGCCTCCTCATGATTGGCCTCATTGGCCATGGAGCGGGTGATGCGGCCTTTGCGGCGGCCTTGGCTATTGGCAGTTTTACGACCTTTGGAGGCCACAGCCTCCTTCTCATCGTTGTCCTCTCCAGAAGTGTCATCGGTCTTCTCCCTACAGTCACAGAAGGGAGAGTGGGATGATCAGCAGAGCTAGAAAGCTTGGGGAAACTGGAGGAGACCTTTGGGTCTCGATAATCAAGAGCTGGAGAGGAGAAAAGCTGCCCCCAGGGCTGACGGGTAAGGGCTCCGCATCTACCAGAAGAGGGCACTATAGGCAGCCTGTGGTTGGCAATGGCATCTGTGGTGTCAGGAGGAAGGTGGGAGCTGTGGACTGTTCTGTGCTCTAGGTTTAGGTAGGGATGGCAGTTATATAGTTATTTGATTCTGCAAGTTACCAGCAGGGTGATGCTTCCTAATACCACCAGTGTACACTAAACAGGAGAGACCTGCTAGGGGCCTTCCAGACCCTCTGCAGTCACCATCACCCACAGAGGACATATTTCCAGGGCTCTGTACACAACAACCCACTCAGGGTACCCAGGGCTGCATGCCTGGAGAATGGCAGCTCAGCCCAAGTATGGGAGCACATGTGATCTAGGGACCCAGAGTAGGGTCTTCTCAGAAGTCGCTGGGATAGATTTATCACCTCTGTTGCCCATTCATCTTTCTGAAAGAGACTGGCTTGAGCCATGGAAACAGGGAAGGTGGGTGGAGGCTTTGAGGCACACAGGCCCATCACAGGCACCTGCACTCCCTATAGCTGGCCACTCTCCCACCCACAGGCTGGAATATTGGGCGTTGATGGGGTAACTGTGAAGGTGGAGGCCCCCAGTTGCCTGGGACCACTCTGTCTGCCCCAGGCTCCTCAGCCTGCCTACCTCCTGGACCACGGGGAGGCAGGGAAGCATGGCTTAGCTCCAAAGCGGCTGTCTGGATTTATTAGCCCAGAACAGAGCTCAAATGAGCAATCAGTCTCCTACATCTCTGGAGGCTGTGGACAGAGGAGCAGGGGAGGGGAGGGGAGGAAGTAGGGGCCAAGGCTTCCAGAAGGAAAGGCATGGGAAAACTGGTCAGAGCTCTAGGCTGGCGCCATGCTGGACTCCCCAGGGCCCAGGTGAGAGCTGAGCAGCCTTGGGCCTTACTTATTGAGCTCCTCCTTGTCGTTATCGGCATCTGGCTTTTCTTCCTCCTTGTCATTGGCTTCCTTCTCCTTCTCCTTCTCCTCCTTGTCCTCCTGGCTGCTCCGTGCCATCTGTTGCTGCTGCTGCTGCTGCTGTTGCTGCTGCTGCTGCTGTTGCTGTTGCTGCAGCCCAGGGAGCAGAGGCAGGAGGGAAAGTATGAAACAAGTGAAGATGGAAGGGCTGGTAGAGGCAGAGACTGGGGAAGCTGGGAAGCTAGCCAGGTGGGGAGGCAAGAGTTGAGCTGAGGTGTGTGAAGCATCAAGATCGAACACCTGAGCTCAAATCCTGCCTCCTCTACTTACCTGTGTGATGATCCAAGGTGAAGGTTTTAACCACTGTGCTATGACCTTCAAAAGGGTATTCAATTTGCTAATGCTGGGCCAGGGGCTGAAGGGAGAGAACTTTACAGGAGGTTCCCCTCTACACCTCCATCCTCAGTCTGTTTAATCAGAAGGAGAGGTCCCTGGTTCTTTGGGGCTGTGGGAAGGTGGATGTGGCAGGCCCCAGTATACTTGCCCAGAACAGGGAGACAGTAAGAATAGTCTCCCACCCCTGGCACTGCTTAACAACTTGATTTTGTGCCTTCCTGATTTCTTAGAAGGGGTGCACTGGGTTTTTTGGCCACCCTGGGTCCTCTCTGGAGGCAGCTGTCAAATCAGACCATCTTCTCAGTCAACGGGGCTGAGTGAAATAATATGCCTGCCAAAAGTCTTAGAGGGAGAGGGTGGGTGGGGTATAGTCAAACCAACACAAGCAGCCAAGCAAATAGAACGAGGGGTGGGAGGACAGCTCTCTTTAGCCCCATTGTTCCTTCTTGTCAAGAGCACACAGCAGTCTGCCATGGTACTAGGGACTTTTCCTTTATAGGATGAGGCTAGGCCTGGGACAGCCAGGGACATCATGGCATATTGGGACACAGAGTGAGAGCTTGAGTTGTGTAGGGCTCTTGAGTCTATAGCTGTCTACCCTGAATCCTCTGGATCACCCTCCCTATTACCAGGAACCCCATGTCCTCTAAGAGGAAGGGTCAGGATAGCCAGCCTGCCTCGAGGCAGCCACGCATGACTACTGGCTCCTCAGTTAGGCACCAGCTTTCTATCAGGCAGCCTAGGTCCCTACTCTCAGATCATCATCCTTCATACAACCCAGGGGAGAAGCCCCAATCAGGCAAAGCCCCTTTCAGCAGACACTGCAGGCAGAGTTGAGGAAGAATGAGTTTCCAGTTCAGTCTAACAGTGTCCCCTTTCCACATGCACAAGTTGGCCAGAGGTGACAAGTGAGAACCAGGACTTCCACAAAGAGGGGCTGCAGCCTGTGCCCAAGTCCAGGGCCCAGGACCTTGCTGTCCATGGCATGAGCCATATCTCCTGAAAGGCATCCTTGCACCCCAAGCTTAGCCCCTGTAGAGGGGTGACAGGAGAGCAGGCATCCCTGGCTGGTGATGTACCTTCCTGCATTGGCCTGAATAAAGCTACAAGTTCTGTTCCTAGCGGCTCCTGGGAGATGGAAGGGGTTGGGGTAGGATCTCTAGAGCCAGCTACTTGGTCCCCTATTGAGCTTGGCAAAGCACAGAGCTGGCAATTCTGGCTGATAGATGCCATTGGCTGTACCTTGGGTCTCAGGCTGTGGTACCCAAAGACTGCCAGAACACAACCAGGACCACAAGGATTCCCTGGCGTGAGGTGGCATCAATATTTTAAATTCCTAGGCTGAGTCAAGAGTGGGGATCCATACTATAACCCCAGCACTTGGAAGGCAGAGGTAGGGGGGCTGCAACATGCAAAAGGTTAGCCAGGGCTATATAGGGAGGTTCTGTTTCCAAAACCCCAATCAAACAAAAATAAATCCCCAGGTTGCTGCAGTGGGCACCCAAGTTCTAAGGGCCAATGAGAAGTAATTGAGGCTGGACAGCCCACAGGCTCCAAGGCTCATGCTCGGCTCTGCTGCTATATGGAGATGCTGTATGCCAACAAAGCTTTATTTACAAAAGCAAGTGCAAATGGGGCAAGTTTGGTTTCGAGCTGGTGCAAGGCTAACCTGGGGCCCGAGACCCCACGTGTTCATCTAGACTCTTTGAAGGCTATTGGTGGTCCTCAGACCACAGCAAGGAGGGCTTTGGGGCTCCTGTCCCACACAGCAGAGCAGATGCCCACATGGACCTCAACCCGAGTTTGAGGGTTCAGAAGCACAAGTGGAATCCCAGCTTCCCTGATGATACCCAAGCTTGTGGCAAGTGATAGGTCCCTGGTTAGGCAGACCAAGCCCCTCAAACCACAGCACAACTATGAACACCTGAAAGGCTCTACAACGATCTGGGAGCATCAATTCAGATCTGCAGGGACTCACTTCAGGCAACATACGTGAGAACAAATACGGGCTGAGCAACATGTCTATGAAAAGACTGTCCTCATGTCTCACCCTGGAGCTTGGGTCCTCCCAACAACTCTAGCATTATCCCTGTCCCACAGATGAGAACAAGAACAGAGAGGTAAAGGAACCTGCCAAAGAACATACAGCATTCCCTAGCAAGATGCTTCACCAGTCACCTTGGCCTTAGGGGCTCTGGTCTCCATCAAGTTAGGAGAACTGCATTGCCCATTTCATGCCCTCGCCGAGCAAGCTCTTGTCCCCAGGGAAACACCAAACCCTCAAAAGAGGTAGAGCCCAGCCATACACAGCATGCACCAAAGATGGCAAGGTCAGGAACTGTGGTGTTCAGAGGGAGGCCAGTGTTGAGAAAACCTTCCAAAGGTTCAAGCATGCCACTATGTAGCAAGAGTAACAGAGACCCTCCAGGGTGAGGGGAAGGGCTAGCAGGACCCAGCCTTGGTGCTGGGTCTTCAAAGGCTCACGGTGGTCAGGGATCAGAAAAGATATTCAGAGGAGGCTCTGGGTTCTGAGCCCAGCAACAAAACCTTGAGAACTTTCCAATTCCCAACCACACTGACTAATGTACAGTCATTCATTTTACAAACACTATACAAGAGAGCATCAGAATGCCACATACCCCAGTCAGTCCTGAGGGCTATCTGTACAGTAGATGGGGATTCAGAAAGTGGGGCTGGGGGAGGAGCAGAGAGTCAGGGGTCAAAGTTAAGGCAGAACACAGGGGACTCATGACAGGAGATTGAGGCTCAGTCCTCAACAGGAGTGCTGAAGTCACTCAAGTTTTGGGAATGGTAAGGGCTGTCTTATTAACAAAGTACACACCTCGCGCAGGTTGAGATCACAGTTTTCTGTTTTGTTTTTTTGAGACGGGGTCTCTCTGTATCCCCAGCTGGCCTGGAACTCCCTATGTAGACCAGGCTAGCCTTGATCTCACAGAGATCTGTCTGCTTCTGCCTCCCAAGTGCTAGGATTAAAGGCATGCACCAACATGCCTAGCAAAATCAGTTTTTAAACACAAAGGCATGAGTGGTCAGATCACACTGCGTCCTCACAGTCTGTGTGCTGGCCATCTTGCACTCCTGAAGTCAATTTTACTGTTTGTCTGGTGGAGTGGGAACTGGACATGGGAGTGTGCTGGGTGGGCCAGTCTTTATTGAACCTGGCCGTGGCCCCCGCAATGGCTGGCCACCTTCTCTTGGTGTGCTGTTCTGCAAAGATATGCACAGAATGCCATGGAGCACACCCATGGGAGAGGGAGGAGGCATGGCTCATGGCAGCCCAAGCCTGTTTATCTGCATGTTAGCCAAGGCTCTACCCTGAGCTGCACCCCCAGGCCCAAGGCCCCAATTTAAATCCTCAACTGGAGACTGGGGACTCTGCGGGTAAGAGTGCTTGCAGCACAAGTATGGGGGCCTGAGTTCAGATCCCCAGCACTGACAAAAGAGTGGGATGTAGCCAGGTGTGCCTGGGACCCCAGGGCTGTGGGAGTCAAGACAAGATCACTGGGGCTCACTGGCCAACGGCCTAGCCAACAAACAGCAGGCTCCAGGTTCAATGACATACCCTGTCTCAAGGGAATAAGATATTTAACATCTTCCTCTGGCCTCCACACACACGTGTACATACACATGCCTACTCATGCATGCTTGCACAAGCACCATGCACTCAAACATACACCCACACATATATATTCACAGATATGCATGCAAACACATATACAGGCATATATGCCCATGTACACACATAACCACACATGCTCACACACATGAGCATAAGCACCCACACACATTCACATACATATGTAAGCACCCACATACGTTCACATACACATGTGAGCGCGCACACGCGCACACATACACACATACACATGTGAGCGCGCACACGCGCACACATACACACACACACACACACACACACACACACACACACACACACACACACACATACCAGTAAACCAGCTCTTGCCTGCCAGCAGAATAAGGTCTCATTTTAATAGGGCCATCTAGCCTGGGTCCAGCTCTCCGGGGCAGCTCACTCCTGGCTCCCCTTTTGCCTCTATGAAGGGGTCACAGGGTTTCCTGCCTCAAGGCCTTTATATTTGCTGTGCCCTCTGCCTGGCTGGTGTTTTCTATCATTCAGATCTGACCCCAAAAACCTTCTAGAGGAGCCCTCGGGTCAGTTCCCTGAAAGCTACTCCCTCCCCCTCATGTAGGACCCTAGAGGTGGTCCTCCACACTCCTCAAAGCATGGCCAGTTTACTGCAGGGTCCAGTTCCCTGTGGCTGCCTGGGGACCTTGTGTATCTTTCTCATTGGTTAAGTCCCCTGGAGTGACATAAGTGTTGGGGCTGCAAAACAGACCCAAACTTGGGTGAGAGGCCTTCCCTGGCAGACTGTACCCAGCCTGTAACAGCTAGCTGGCTCCTGACAGCACCAGGGGTGCCCCAAGCTCTGCAACAGCAATGTGACTGATGGCTATCTGGCAGTGCTCGCACCTCCCTACCTCTTCCCATCTCTGATGTGGTTGGTCTAGGCAGGCTGGGGGAGCCAGGCCTCCAGTGATGTACATATCCTACTCATGCAAACACCTCGAGTCTGTCTCATTTCCCAAAGCAGAGGACTGGCTTGCTCTGTCCACAGGGCATGGCCTCTCCTGCCTTCTGCTCCCCAGACGCCTGCCCAGACCCCCTACTTGCCAGGACTAGACAGAGCCACCTGCTCAGCTAGGCCTGAATTGGCACAATTCTGCCAGGCCTGGAACACCCTCAGTAAGGCACCCCCACACACTCCTGAGAAGTTATGAACCCCAGGCTGGAGAGTAAGACCCAACACACAAGCACATGCTCTCAATGGTGACCAATGCCAAATGGTCCAACTGGATACTGTAGACTGGCTTGGCATGCATGTTCCCACAATCAGCCTTGGTAACCTCAAAGGCAAAAGGTCAGCTGGTCCCCAATGGCCTTTCAGTCACACTGCTCCCGGGCAGGTGACCTGGACCCACATGGAAACAGTGTCATCTGTCCCTTGGCAGGGAACCAGGAGAGGAGGAGGGTTAGGAAAGAAAGGGGGGGCGGTTGAGATGAGGGGGTAATAGGGTCACAGAGACCCAGAGATATGAGATGGAGGACATACACACAAGGACGACCAATGGGGAGATAGGGACAGATAGAGAGAAAGGGAATGGGCCTCGGTACACAGACAGAAAGCCCAACACAGTAGTGGAGAGCATATAGCTGAGGGCTAGGAAGTCCCTTCCAAGAGTAGTGGAAATTCAGAGGAGCAGCCATCAGGAAACCGTTGTGGGTGGGTATGTGGGTTGACAGAAGTAAAATCGTGGGGCCTCAGGTCACCAACTTCCCCCTTGGCCAGGAGGGGCTGAGCTAGAGGCCAGGAGTCCAGGACAGACTTTTCCTACCCCATGTCCTGTCCCCAGGAGACCTAGTCCCTTCTCGGGGCCATTCTTCCTCAGCCACAGGCCTTTTATCACCACAGAAGACCACAGGATCTGGTCATAACCACCGCTGGCTCTGCACTGGGATATAGGCTCTAGGCTTGAGCTGTTGCATGGCACTGTGGCCTTTCCTTCAGAGATCAACACCAAAGCACCACAACCTGTGATTTACCTTGGAGGGGTCTCCAGGCTGGGTTCAGTGGGGTCTGTCAGCCACTTAAGTTACTCAAGGATAGGTGCCAGAATGTGGTCCAGGCCCTGCTTACAAGCATGAGGAGTGGTGGTCACCTCTCCCTAGGTCAGAGGTCAGAGAAGCTTCCGGAAGGGGACTACCCTGTTAGCTAAGCAACAAAGGTAGCCTGCCATTCCAAATGACCAATCACATACCTCCCACAGGCAGCTGAGGCTAGGGAGGGCCTTGCTTTTTCTCAGTCCAGAGTAAAGGTAGCCATGGACCATGTAGGCTGAGGGCTAAGAAGGGAGACTGGAAGCCCTTACTACTAACCAAGGGTTTTTTGAGTTTGTTTTGGTTGGATTTTTGAGACAGGATCTCCCTATAGTCCCAGGTGTCCTGGATCCTGCTCTATAGACCAGGCTGGTCTCCATCTTACCAGTGCCTCTGCCTCCCAAGTGCTAGGATTAAAGGTATATACCAGCTTAACTAAAGGCTTTTTTTTTTTTTTGTCTTTTTGAGACAGGGTTTCCCTGTAGCCTCAGCTGGCCTAGAACTCACTATATAGACCAGGCTGGTCTTGAACTCACAGAGATCCACCTGCCTCTGCCTCCCAAGTGCTGGGATTAAAGGCGTGCACCACCATGCCCGGCTTAACCAAAGGCTTTTAAAAATATAACCTCTGGGTGTTTAAAATATGAGGACTGAAATACTGAACAAGCACTCTGACACAGGGTAGGTGGAGGAGAGACAGTGAAGGGCCAGTCATTGAGGTTCAGGCCAACTCAGATGCCATAGGATGGGTGGGAGCATTGAGTCCCTGGTCATGACACCTCCAACAGGCCTGGCTAGAAGTCCTTCCAGGGTATACTTGCTGCCTGTCCTCAGCTACTGCCAGCCCTCACCTGCCTCCTCAGCCTACTTTGGGGCACCCCAGAAAAGCCCCTCTGCATGTCAGCGCTGCTGCCCAAGGAATGCCATTTCCTCACATCACCTTGCTTAGGGCTTGGTTATCAGCACAAAGGTTCTTGGATCACCCCTATCAGGAGTTCATGAGAAGTGCAGAGACTTGGTTCAGTCTTGCTGGGGTGAGGGGTGAAACCTGGAGCACACTTTCCACAGCCATCCTGGGAGTCCCAGGTGATGGAGGGGCTAGAGGACCAGCTGACCCTGCAGTTACCTCTCTGCCTCCTTTCTGCACCACCCACTGTATCCAACCAAGGCAGGGATGCATGGATGGAAGGGAGGCCCCTCAAACTCTGAGCTAGGCGAGGAGGCAACCAACTCAGGAAATATGTCTCCTGTAAGGTGGTTTGTAAGACATGGAGTTTGGGAAGAGGAGCTGGGACCCTTCAGTATCTGGGAAATCCCACCTGGTATCTAGTTCATAGCCCTTGGGCAGTCAGAGAATGGGGACAGCGTGCTGGTATTCCTGGGATCTTCCTGAATCACTATACTCTGACACCCCTGCAAAGGTAGTTCTACAGTCCTAGCATGCAGTAGGCACTTAATACATGTCCTGAGGAGCACACACGTCCTATCCACCGAGAGACAATTTTTAGGGAGGCCTGGAGGCTACCCTGCAGAGCCAGGCAGAATCTCTGAGAGGTGCTCACTGTGTTGACAAGCAAAGTGACCAGTTCTGGCTGTCCTTAGCAGCAGCATGAACTAGACTGTAGCACACCAGGACCCCAGGTACCACAGCGTCTGTGGGGTGACATACTACAGCCTCTGTAACCAGAGGCTACCCAGAAACAAGGGGGCCTGCACAGGGATGAGGAACAGTACCAAGCAGAGACCAAGGCAGCAAAGAAACGGCACAGAGGGATGGCTTTTAGCTCTCCATACTCCTAAAAAAAAGGGCTGCCAAGAACCTCTTCCCTAAGCTGATGCATATTAAAATGCAGAAGATATTATGCAATAATGAACCACTGACATTATTGGCTACTGTAGCTGTCACAACCATCACCACCACCATCAAAATCACCATCAAAACCATCAGCACCAGCAGTCTCACCACCATGGCAGGTGGCATCATAATGTCCCCGTCTCTCTGTAGGACTGGGCACCCCAGATTTAAACAGGGCCCCAGACTGGGGAGGCCAGTGCCCCCACTCTACCTCCTCATGCTCTCTGCCTGGTATCTACCTGACCTTTTGTCTCTTAGTCTAGAAATTTTCTGAATGCCCTCACTTTCCACAATGCCACAGAAAAACCTCTAGAACCATACTGTTCTGTGCCACAAAGTCATGGTGTCGCACATCTGTCAGAAGCAAGTAGGACAAAAAAGTAGCAAGTAGGGCTGGCCTACTGTGGGCACAGAAAATGAGCTGGAAAAACCACAGCCACAGACCAAATGCAGCTGCCTTTCAAGGACCTAGGAGATGAACAGGGCTCAGTCCCAGGTATTTTACCAACCATTTGAGTGTGTGTGAGGGTGTGTATTTGTGTGCACCTGTGTGGAGGGCCAGAGGTCAACCTCGAGTGTCATTCCTCAGGAGCTATCCACCTTGTTTTTTGAAACCTAGGACCTAGGCTTGCCAATAAGGCAGGCTGGTTGGCCAGCAATCCCCAAGGATCCTCCTGTCTCCATCACTGGGATTACTAACTCATGTCAGCATACCCAGCTTTTTATGTGGGTTCTGGGAAATGAGCTCAGGTCCTCATGCTTGCACGGTAGGCACTTCCCAATGAGCCCTCCTTCTAGCCCAGGTCAGGCATGTTTAAAGGAGTATTTCCCCTGGTCAGCAGAATATTGGCTTCCTGGTCTGCATTTCTCTTAGGTGAACAAGACGGCAGCTGCTTTGTGGGACAGCAGTCCCTGCTCGTGATGGCCTGGCCCAATGTGTGAAGGGGCCTTTGCTAATCTGGGGAAGGAAGATGGGCATTAAACCACCTCCTTCCATCTCCCAAATGCCATGTCCTTGGGATCCCCGGCTATTGTGTGTCAGGCCCCCATGCCTTCGCTGCACTGACTAAAGGTTTTCCATAGCAACCCCTTCTCTAATGGAGGTCAGCCAACCTTTACTAAAAGGTGGACAGTAGCACTGTAGGCTGTAGGCCATGTGGTATCAGAGCACCACCAAAGGTTGCTACAGTAATATGCACACAAATAGCTGTGGCTATGTGCCAATAAAGCTTTATTTACATAGCAGGTGAAGGGCTAAGCCACTAGGTACTGGCACTCTAGGTTCTCTAGATGTTGATGCATGAAGACAGGCAGGGTGGCCCACTGGCTATTTTTCCTCTAATAGATTCACTAAAATGAATAGCCAGAGCTGTTCAAGTTTCAAGCCCACTTGGTAGGTCACCCAAGGTTATCCTGGCAGTCTCTACTTAGGGAATGTGGCCTTTTAACCAAAGGGACCAGGGTTCACCCAGCCCAGAGTCCAGGAATGTCCCTGCTCCCCAGCTCTGTCTGCTGAAAGGCTGGTAGGTAGAGCACCCATGGGAGGACCTGTCCAGTCAGCCACCACAGAGGGAGCCCCCAACTGTGGAACTGAACAATACCAATCACGAGGGATGCTGGTCACCCAGCAACTGGCCCAGGAGCACAAGGATAGGTTGCCAAAGCCAAGCAGCCCACACTTGCCTCTTACCTGACTCTTGCCTCGGCGCCGGTAGCTCCGCCTCACCAGGCTCTTATAGTTCTCGTTCTTCTTGGTCAGGTAGTAATAGAGGACACACTCAGCCACTGTCTGTAGGAGAGAGAGAAAGGGCATTCAGAGGAGCCAAAGCCCAGGGTTCAAATCCAGCCTCCTCCGTAGACCCTGGACAAGTTAGTTCCTAACCACTCTGAATCCTAGCTATCTAATGTGTAACTTGCAGGGACTGATAGACGTGCTTCAGACTGATCATGCTTATCAAGAGGATTACTATGAGTGACAAGTATGAGGACAAAGCCTCATACACAGACACTAGGGAAGCACGGGCCATCAGCATGGGTTCCATGCTTGCTACTCTAGGTGACAGTGATGACATTGCAACAGATGTCCCCCAGCTCTCACAGAGAACAAGTCCTCAAACATATAGCTGTGAAAACCCAACCATCCCCTTGCTCTGGTCCAGCTGTCCTTCCTGACTCCTGGGGTCCTGAACAACCTCTCCCTGGACTTCCATGCACATCAGGGACCCTCATGAGGGGCCTTGATAGTCACCTACAGGAGCAGCTATGCGTGACAGACCCATTCTTGTGATGTTCAACCTAGTATCAAACCATGAAGAATGTGGGGTGCTGAGGTGGGTCAGACCCCAGTTGCCCTATACATCAGGCTACCCCTGGCCCACACACACGACCCAACAGAGCCAATGTGTGCCGGTCAGGCCAGGTGGATGTCAACAGCTCCCTCCTAGGCTGAGTGATGGCAGGAGCCCTGAGTCTGGCCCCCTCATTATCACATCATCCTGTCCCTGCTGGCCTTAGTAGGTACCTCATATCCTAGAGGCTCATTCATGACCTCCTAGCCACAACCAAGCGCTTCCCCTCCACCCTCTCCCTCCCCAGTTACCTTGCTCAATCTCTAATTTCTGAGCCACCCTGGCTCCATGAAGCCCTAGCCTAGGTCTGCTGGGTTGCCCACACCCAGCAGAACACGTCACTGGCTAGGCAGGCTATTTATAGGGTTAGTTTCCCCACATGTCCTCTTTAAGCACTGGGAGCTGTCACCCAATGGTCCCAGAGGGTCTCATTTCCCTCACCTGTGCTCATCAGTCCACAGGTTAGATGTTGGGAATGATCATTGTCCTTGCCAATGGTTGATCAAATTCCTGTCCTGCCTCCCACCTGCTGTCAGTATGCCTGGGGCTCAGGACATGCTCCATGAGGCTGGCCAGGTCGGGGGCAGGTGGAGACACCACTTACCAAGGAACAGCACCCATAAACCACAGCTCCAGCATATAACCCATGCTACTACACACCTACCCAGGGATGCTCACGTGCTGCTCGCCAGTCTGGTATGTAAAGACCAATTGACCACCTTTTGAGGGACACCATGACTCCTTGCCAATAGGAGCTGAACCCAAAGCAGAGGACTCCAAGCACATGGGGGACAAGTTGGATTAAATATCAACTCTGCATGAAAGTTTATTCAGAGTGGTAAAGGGACAAATTAGCCATATGCCTAGAGTGGCATCTGTAGTGTCATCAAGCCAGGAGTGCCCCACAACAGGGACCTAAGAGGTAAGTCTAACCCAGGGTCCTGGATGCAGGCCACACCCGGCCACTATGCCCCAGATAGATGTGGCAAAGCTCTCAGAACTGGTGCCCACCCATGTGCAGGGACTCAAGCCACTTGAGCTGTAGGGAGCTGGACACATGGCTCCAGGATACAAGTCCTCACAGCTCTGCTAGATTGCCTGGGCCTAGAGCCCAAGGCTCCTCCCAATCCTGGGCAGGGCCTATATGGCTACCCCCCGACCGACCCCACCCCAGGAAGGAGGTGGGGGCAAGAAAGAAAATGGTGCAGGCGGGGAGGCAGAGGTGGGGGTGGGCAGGCCCTCTACCCAGCCAGACACTGGCCCTGGGGAGGGGACAGCAAGAGGGTTCAGTGCCCAGTCAGGCAACCGACAGTTAGGGACAGCCACTCACCTTCCTCTCCAGGAATGAGGCAATCAGGCCAAAGTTCTTGGGGTGCTGCATAAACCTGAAGGCAGAGAAAGGTAGGCATGAAGCTGGGTTGAGGCTGAGGGAGGCCCCATAGGACAACCAAGGGCTAAAAGCACCCAAACGCCTGCCACCCAGGCCTGGCTGGGCGGGCACCGCCTCACAGATCCTTGGGGCGTGGGAAGGGCTATGGGGCAGGGACCAGGGTCCAGGGCGTTCCTCCGAGTGACTCACTGGCTGTAATGCCTTTGAAAATACATTTGTTTGTCCTGCCGCAGGCTTCCAGGAAAAATGAGGACACAGCATTCGGATCACCAGTGGTGTGCCTCCCCCCAACCACCCGAACCGCCTTTGTCTCTCTCCCCAGCTAGGTTTGGGAAGCTAGGCCTGGCCTGGCCCACATGGGGCCTGACTGGATAAGGTTAGGGCTAGTCAGACCTGAGGGCCTCCAGAGTGCTAGATCAGAGCTTCATATGCCAGGAAGAGCAGAGAGTGGCTGGAGCCGCAGGGGGTGGCGGGAACTGGAGACGAGCCATCAGCTTCCTGTGAAGCCTGAGCGTTACTGGGAAACCCTGCCAGCTGAAATGTCAGGGCCAGGCAGCCACGGGGAAAGGGATGATGGTCAAGGCCTGTTCATACCCTAGGGGTGCTGGGTGGCATCACTGACTCTATCACCTTGTCTCCAGCGTCCCCTTGTCACCAAGGACCTGCCACCGCTCCAGGGCCTTGCAAGGAGAAGTGGCTGCCAGCAGTACCAGGCTGGTTCCTACCAGAGCCCAGCCAGCCCTGCCTGGCCTCCAGGTGGCTAGGCAGCAGGCCAGAGGCCCCTCCCGCTCCGAGCCAGACGCTGGGGAATCCGGAAGGGCCTCTTAGCTCTTCCCAAGAAGCCTCAGTAGCAGGGTGGCAGGACGATGACTGCCCCACTTGGCCCCCGCCCACTCAAGTGTCAGGCAAGCTTGGGGCACCTACCCCTTCCCCCCCCGTGCCCAGCTGTGTGGAGCCCTTCCTTGTCCCTTCCCAACCCTTCTACAGGGTTTCCCTAGGTAGAGACGGGCCCCAGGAAACCAGGAATCAAACTTGAGACACTCCAGGGCAGCTGTCCCTCCACCACCATACCTGCACCCTGCCAACATTACTGGAGAAATAGGTGGAGCCTGATGACGTAACCTTATAACCCAGCAACCGAGGTTAAGGCAGGAGGGCCGCAAGTTCAAAGGCAACCTGGACTACACAGTGATTTCAAAACCAAACAAAGCAATGTAATAGACCTTGTCTCAAATAAAATAAAATACAATAAAAATGAACAGTGATGTAGCTCAGCAGGAGCATGCCTGGCATGCCCAAGGTCCAGGGTTCAACCTGGCACTCAGGACCTCATGCCAAGGGGGCACAGCTGGCCCTATGTATACAGTTATACATCTGTAAGTTCAACTAACTGCAGGTCAAGAAGGTTCTAGAAATAAGTCAGGCATAGCAGCACATGCCTATAATCCAGATCAGGAGTTCAAAGCTGTTCTATACTACACAGGAAGCCTCACCTCAAAAAATTTTCTTACAAGCCGGGTGTAGTGGCTCATGCCTGCAATCCCAATATTCAGAAGGCTGAGGCAGAAAAGTCAGGAGTTCAAGACCAGCCTTTGCTATACAAGTTTAAAGTCATCCTGTGCTATGAAACTCTAAAAGAAAAAAAAAGCAACACTCTGTGTGTGTTGACCATATTTGGCTACCCCATGTCACGGCTGACACACTATTCATATGGACTTATGTTACATCCGGTATTGTGAATGATCCTGTCATAAGTAGGTATACATAGTAGGGGATACATAGGTCTTATGTAAATCCTCATTCTTTCACATAAAGAGGATGCTCTGGGATTTTGATGTCAGGGGTCCTGGAAGCCAACCCCATACCCCCACCCCCACCCTACCATCACTACCATCAAGGATGCTAAGAAAGTATTGAATGGCTTGTGCCCATTTTACAGGAGGAAAACAAGTTAGGCCGACGCTGGCTTGTCAGACCCATGTACCCAATGAGTACTAAAACCCATACATGATTCTCAGAGGCCCTGGGTACCATCAGCCCCTCAGCAAATAAACCCTTCAGGGAGACCATGATCCTTCAAGGGCCCACACTATGTGGCTGTGTCTTGCAGATGGAAACCAGGACAGCAGATGTAGGCCACCTGGGTCCCCATTTGTCAGCTATGGAGTTACTGGAGTAAAATCATTAGACAACCCCTGAAAGCACCCCAAAATGCTGATAAACTAAAATAGCAAGCCCACTGGGAGAGCTGAACGCTTAGGGCCTCAGTATCCATGTCCGTCCACAGGCCACTGCCCTGGGCCAGGTCATAAAACACATTCAACACAGAACAGGAGTCCACATACTGTCTCCAGACACAAGCCACAAAGGGAACAAGGACAGGAGCCATTGAACCAAACCACCAGAGTCACCTCCCCTGAATACAGCTCTTGTTGATCTCACTTTGTCATCCCACTGGTTATGTTTTAAAAGTTTCATGGTCAAAGGCCACTCTGAAGAGTCACTTCTACTGATGTCCTGTGTAGCCATCAGCCTTGCCTATGACCCATGGCCAGGCTGGCCTCTCCCACAGGATTCCTCTAAGGACAGGGATAGCCTGACACTGGGCTCACATACCCCAGCAGGCAGCTGAAGCTCAGGGGCAGACAAAGGCCTCTCTAGAGGGGAGACGCCAGCCATTCTGCTTGACAGATGCCTACAGGGCAAGGAGCCTCCATTTCCAGTGGTCCCTCCTGGTCTGTCCGTGCCTCAGTCTCTACTCTCCTGCCCCCAGGGGTCCTGGTTCTGAGGGGACTTGGCCTTTTAGTGAGATGTTTACAGTGTACTATCCCAGCAGACAGACCAGATAGGGAGGTATGTGTGTCTCTGCCCCTGATCCTCACCCTGGGCTGTGGTCTTTATCTGCCCAGGAGCTCTACCTCTTACACCCACAGCTTGCTTCTGCTTTCAGAGCTCCAGCTCCCTGACATCTGCTCATCCCCCAGCCTCTCCATTCTGGCTAGAAGATTGAACCCTGCCTTCACCACGCACAGCTATGTGACCTCTGTCAGGTGTCTTTACCTCTCTGAGCCTATGTTACTGCCTATGTGGCGGGGACTACCTGGTTGGCTACTGTGAGGGGCAGCCTGGGATGGAGGGCGCATTCCACAAGTAGCTTCTTTTAAAGAACAAAAGCCAGGGGGCTGGGTCTGCACCTCACTAGGCCCTGGTTCCATCCCCAGCATCACCAAAGGAAACAAAGCTTCTGGCCGCCTCATCCCAACCTCGTCCCCACCCAAGGCTGTGAAAGGCTGAGCACAGCTGATTGCTCTTCCAGTCACATAAGGTTACCTTTCTACTGCAGTGTGTCCTCCAAGCCCATGCCCATCGGAATCCAAGTGAGGCCTTATTTGGAAACAGGGTCTTTGTGGACAGTTAGGACAGTTGTAGGCATAGGGTGGCCTTCAATCAGTGTGTCTGGAGGCCATATAAGAGGAAGCAGGAACGCAAAAGACCCAGGGAGATGGAGGCAGAGATGAGGGCTGGGGACCCTGGTGTACTGGAGCAGGGACAGGAGCAGGGTGACTGAGGTGAGAATGAAGAGGACACCATGCAGGACAGGGCTCCTGGGGACACTCACTTCTCACGGAAGGTGTCCTTCTCCTGCTCACTCCACATGTTGGTAACCTGGCGGTCCTTGTACACCTTCATGGGATCATCCATGAGCCCATTCATGTTGATGAACTTGATCCTCTGCTGGTCTGCATCATACAGCATGGGCGGGATCACAGCCAGTTGGCGCATCTGCTTCTCCAGGTTCTGCATAGAGGCAGAGGGTGGGGTCAGAGGGCAAATTTGGGTCAGGCAGTTTGATGTTTCCTGGCCAGTAGGGCCCGAAGGTCAGACATTCCTTACAGGAGAGTGGATCTGAGTTAAAAGCCAGCAACAGCTGGCACAAGCAAGGATTTAGAGGCACAGGACAGGTTTATGGAGGGCAGGGCTGTAAATTCAAGGCCAAGCAGCCTGGCCTTATCTGCAGCAGGAAGGGCCTCTCATCTCCCCACAAATGCAGTGCCATAAAACATCCAGGAACAGAGGCACTACACAGCCCATCCTGATCCCATGTGCTCAAGGGATGGCGCCTGCCTGGCTCAGATTGAGGAGTCTAGACCACCTTCCTGCCCAGCACTGGCATTGGGGTCCTTCCGTTATCTCTTGGGGACCTGGCCTGTCCTGTCCTCCTGTGGCCACCTGGTCTATCCACACTGTGGAGTGCAGGCTGTGCTGGCTAGGCTACTGGGGATGTTGGGGTGAGCAAGGAGACAACTTTAAGCCATCCCTGCTGTGCACCCTGCTCTGATCAGACAAAGTCTTGGCAGGCAAGCTGCAAAGATGGGCAATCTGCAGCCATAAAGGTGCCACTGGCTGCTCTGTCCAGTGAGAAGCCAAAGCTACAGGGCTACCAAGACAAACCGGTCTGCACCTCACTTTAGTTTCCATCTTTGAAAGGCTTGGTGACAAGGTGGTGGCTATGGCCACACCCACCATTGCAGAACACCTCAAAAAGAAACTAAGACCCCAATAAACAGCATCCTGCATCTTCCATGATGTCAAATGACACAGTAGACACTTGATCCACACACCCAAGAGGAGCAGGGCCAGAATGGCGCCTCACTAGGAAAGAGTACCTCCTCTGCTTTGTGGCCTTCTCTCAGCTGGTGACCACACCTGACGTCACTAAGACTTGCCCCAGGTGTCCAGGTGCCCCAGGAAGGACATGGGACAATGGGCTCAAAGATAGGCTCCTGCAGGAGTGTCCCTAGTCAGAGGCCCCACCAACTTCCCTGCCAGGCCCTCTTGCCAGCTCTGCCAGGCTCAGTCAATGGGGAATATGGACCATAGCCAAAGGTACTTATCGCCACCCCCTGGCTTCTGGGCCTTCTGGGCACCACAGATTGCAGGTCATTGAACTTCCCCAACTATGCCCTGCCAAGCTGCTCCTCCACAGCTTATTGGCACCCTACTGCTGGTCACCCTGTACCCTAGGGGTCCAGCAGTAGCTTCACATGGCCAATAGTCCTTGGTGCCTCATTGGTTCTGACACATCCATCACCAGCCTTTGGATTTAAAGCACCAGGTGGCTTTCTTTCCTGCCGGTACCTGCCCACTGTGGCAGGGACACATATAATGGACATACATGGGTGGTACACACAGAGGCAGTGGGACACAGCCATAGTGGACTCACCTCCTGCTCAGACAGGCCATCGATGATCTCGGATACCTCGTGCTCACTGCGGGCAGCAGACATGGACAGTCCACTGCCACGCTGGCCCACCCTGCTGGGAACCAGAGGGACATAGTCAGGACCGCTCATCCTGCTGGGATGCTGAGCCAACACCATGGGGATAAACATTCTAGAGCATGACTGTAGGCGAGTGGGGTGGGGAAGGCTCAGGCTAGGCCTCCCACCCACACACCTGACAAGAGACCTGGGGCCCAGGGGAGTTGAGAAGCCCCTCAGAAACTCCAAACCCCAAGGCTTCAGGGCAGCAGCTGCCAGCTCCCAAGCTACCCTGAAGAGTCAGAGACCCAGCTGGAGCCAAGTGCTGCCTCCAGCTTGGGGTAGGTGCAGCTTCCAGGGTCTTCACCCAGCACTGCAGCCTCCTGTGCTGTTGTAGGGCCAGTGAGATGCACCTTTTGAGCCTGGAAGCATCTGGCAGAGTCAACTCTGGTGATCTCATGGACACTGGTGACCATGTGTGCTGGTGACCCCATGTACTGATGACCCCCTGGATATGGATAATCATATGTGTTGGTGACTCTGAACACACTGGACCCTGGGACCCCATAGGACTCTGATGACCTCGTGGGCACTGGTAAGTCATGTGCTGATGATCACGTGCTGGTGACCCCTCAGGCACTGGTGATCCCCATTCAATAATCATCTGTTGAGAACCAGCAACCCACCCAGGTTTCCTCCTTATGGCCACCATGGGGACCACAGGCATGTGCCTGGGAGCTAGGTGTACTTATGTCCCTACAGGGTCTCAGGCTCCAGCCTTGAGAGCCGCAGTCCAGAAGGAGCCAGGGCGGTAGTTGGACACTCCTGCTGGGCCAACAGGTCCAAAGGCCCCCGCTGTGGGTCTGAAGCCCTGTAATGCTACTCTGACTAGCACTGGCAGGGCCTCCCGGGGACACCTGCACATCCTCACCTCTGCATGCGCTCCTGCAGCTCGCGCTGCTTGCGGATCTCAGGGAACTGCTTCTCGTAGTACTCCCGCACCTTGCTCTCCTTGGCCCGACGCCTCGGGTTGTTCTCAATACGCTCCACCTTCTTCTCCCATGCCTCCATGAGTTGGTCATAGCGCTGGCAGAAACGCTGCTCCTGTGGAGACACCGGCCATGAGAACGGCACAAAGTGGTGGCATGTGAGGTACACAGCAAACACACATGCTCACAGGAACATGCTCACAGGGGCAGATGGAGGATGAGGACAGACACACACACTTGACAGTCATTCAGATAGGGACACGTGTGCATGCACACACAAAGAGGCCCCAGTCCCTGGGAAGTCATGGGTGCTCTATGGGATACGGCCACTCCCTCCCAAAGAATCGTTCTCCCTGAACCTCTTCTGCAGTGGCCTTGTCCACCTTAGAAGCCACCACCCCTACATAGTTGTTCCCTTAAGTCACATAATCAAGTGGGATCATGAGGCACAGCCACACAGCCAATGGCCGCCCTGCACAGCAGACAAAGCCAGGCCCTGCCACTGCATAAGTTGTCCTAGGCAATGTGGTCTAGGAAAGGCATCCCCAGGGGACACTCACTTTCTAGGCAGTTCCTCTTCTCTGGCCCCAAAGCATCCATATTCCCCAAACCCAAGAGCCTCAAACCAAGAAAGCTCTGCCCTCCCCTCCAAAACAGGGAAGCCCCCCTCCATGTCTAACCATCATGCAGCCTACTGTACATCCCCCAACCAGCCACCTGACCCAGAACACAGCCACCTGGCCTCTACACCTCCAAGGAGACCATTTCAAGAACCCACCTCCAGCAGCTACAGGTAGACAAGAGATGTGGTCATTTAACACTCTGTTAAATCAGAAATCAGAAAGCACCTTGGGTCCTTGTGCTGACACCTGTCACGGTGTACTTAACCTCTACCCCAAGAGCACCCGCAGCTCAACAAGAGGAAAATATCCCATGGATGTCAGGCTGGAGCACAGAGGGCAGGAGAGGACTCCCAAATGTGAGAATTGCCCTACAAGCCCTTGGGATAGGAGCCTGCTCTAGGATAATACACATTGGAACAGCTCAGGCTTCTCAGCTCTACCCAAGGCCCAAGGGGAAGGAGAAAATGTTCTCCTAAGACCACAGCATGGTAACAGGTGAGACAAATGCCAGCCAGTCAGCTAGCCTATGGCTGTGCCACACTCTGCAGAAAAGCCACCTAGCTATATTGTGGAGTTAAGGGATACTTCAGGAATGTCCCCAAAAGGAACATTCAGGTATTTTCCACAGTGCCAAGTACCAGCACAAAGGTCCAAGCAGCTCCCCAGGAGGAGGCTCTGTCCAAGATCAAGAAGTCTCTCTCCAGAGTGGCCTATTGCAATCTGTCTACATCCACTGTGCTGGATATGCACTTGGTTCATAGAGGGCCCAGAGTCTGGTGACTACTGCTGTCCAGGGCCAGGAGGACACTGCTCACAGGAAGGGGACTATCTGGGGATGAGGCAGACTTCTGTATCTGTCTCTGCTGGTTGGAGAATGGCCTGTTTCCCAGCACTCTTGGCCCTGCAGGGAAGGAGCCTGATGGGCTGGGCTGGTGACCACTGCTCATCTTTGGGAAGCACCAAAAACCCCAAGGGAGAGGCTCAGTCACAGGATCTGACTCCTGATGCAGGAGGAGTATGGGTGTGGCCCCTCCTGCCACAGCTGCAACTCCCAGCTCCAGAATCTGCCACAAGGAGACCTTTCTCCCTTTCCTCAGGTGGGCTGGATAGGCGGTATGTTTGCCGCAGGTTTGTGAGGTCTCCCCAGGCTCCAAGGATTTATCCTCATCTCCACAACTTCCCTCTGTCCAGATCCCCTAGCCATGGCAGTTTATGAGCTCAAGCCCATCCCAAGGCCTCTGCCCCAGCGCCTCCTTCTGAAAGCTACAAGGGTCATCCAGGGCCAAGGCTGGAAGCTCAGGGCAGACTGCAGGTGGTGGTTAGAGGCGATGTGACAGGATGGCAGATTGTAGGGAGTTGAGCAGGTGGCCTCCACACCTGCCTTCTCACCCATGTTCCTGTGACTTACACAGCAAGCCAGGCCCTTACCAGCCTGGTCTAGAGTGTGGAAGGCTCTCCTGGGAGGCCTGACAAAACACAATACATCCATATTACCACCAAGTTCATTAGGAATGAGCGAGGCACCTCCTGTGCTGAGGCTAAACGTCAATGGTCTCTGCTGTACCCCTGGATGATTCCTTCCCCAGGGCCCATCCACCTGCTGTGCCCTCACCTCACACAGGTCTGCATACTCATAGTGCACCCTTTCCTGTCCCTTGTATCTCAGCACACCAAGTCCTGGTCCAATGCCCAGAACACTTTCCCTTTCCTGAGTTCATCTGGAACCCTGTTCTCTGCCCTGAGCCCAGGGCAGGAAGCTGCCCATGCAGGAGGGTAAGAGCAGATCCAGGAACCAGGCAGCATGGGTGCCAGTCCAGGCTCCACTTCTCAGCTGTGTGATATGGGTCAAGTGAACTAACCTCTCTGTGTCTCGGCTTCCTTACCTAAAATAAGGGGCTAAGAAGAAGCACCTATCTCACAGGACTTAATGTGCTGCTACGGGAAAACCCATCAGGGTGGGAAGCTGTCTGTGGGTGCAACTCAGTCCCTCCCACTGGTGCCCTATAACTGGGAGCCAACCGTACAGTAGGTGTTCAGTGACTACAGCTAAAGGCACCTGACTGGTAAACGCCTTGTTTCCTCACCCACAGCTCAGATGCAGTCATTGAGCAATTCCAATGCAAACAGCACTTAGTTACCACCTACTATGTGCCCTACTCATGCAAGTACCAAGCACCATTGAGCAGCCCTGAAGGTTCCCAGCAGGTGTGACCTGAGAAAGGAGGTGTGACCTGACACACCCAGGCAGGCCAGTACAGGTGAGAGTCCACCACAGCCACCAGGCCAGGCTGGCCCTCCGTGTTCTCTGATTGCTCCCCCAGCCTCACTGTTTCCCACTGTCTCCCAGCAGCCCTGAGTCTGAGTGGAGTTGATGACATCATCCCTGGCCTTAGTGTGAGCCTGGTTTTAAGCTAGTATGGACTGTGGCCTAACCAGAGTCCAGGAAAGGGCAGCTGTTCCATCTGGAACAGAACTACAGGGCAAACAGCACAGACACCATGACATACTGAGCTGCGGAATGGGAGGCCTAATGGAACTATCCTCAAGTCTAGCACTGTGTACACTTGGGGGAGTCAGTCCTCCTCCCCAGCAACTAAAACATACAACAGGGACTCAGCCTCCATCATGAGCCCATCCCGTGGGTCAACGTGCAGCTACTTGGGGTCCCTCATACCCTCACCCCACCTTGGGCAGCAGGACTCAGGAGCAATACCCTGGATGATGCAGCCACCGCCCACCACCAGGGGGGACTGACTGTTGCTTTCCAGTGGCTGGTTTTCCAGAGCCTAGAAGGGGAAGGGGAATGTGAGGGATTGAGTTGCTTCTCAGGGCCCCTGTGCTGGTTGGTTTCTGTCAACTTGACACAACCTAAGACAGAAGGGAAGAGGGAATCTCAACTGAGGAATGACCTTCATCAGACTGGCCTATGGCCATATCTGTGAGGCATTTTCTTAATTGCATGGAAGAGTAAGCCAAATAAACCTTCCCCCCACAAGTTGTTTTTGGTCAGTGTTTCATCACAGCAAACTAGGACAACCCCTCTCAGCATCCATCTCCCCCTAAAACTTCTCTAGGCCCAAAAGCCTGCAGTATACATTTGGGGGTACATTCAAGACCCCACTTCTTGGCCTCAATAGCTTTCTTCCCTGAGGACCGAAAAGGGGTCCAGAGTCTCCATCCTCTGCCCAGGTACCAACCACCAGAGCAGCTGCCACCTCTGTGACCTGTCCTTGGCATTCTCTTGACATGGACATCTGTCCCCAACAATCACAGAGCCAGAGCCTCCAGACCTGGCCAGCATGGCATGAAGTGGCCCCAACTCTCAGATGGCCCTGAGGGAACAGGACAGGACTCACCCATTGCTTGCGTGCGTGGTTCCTCCTTTTGAAATACAGGATCAGTTTCTTGCGCATTGCCTGGTTTCTGGAAAGCACAGACAGGGATCAGTGGCAGCCAGTTCTCAGCGGAAGCCGAGGTGCCGCCTGGCACTGGTCCTCGGTCAGATGGGAGCCCCACTCCCCGAGTCCCTACAGCTGTCCACCTGTCTCCTCCGTGCCCCACCTCAGGTGCCTCTAGCATGTGGCTGGACTGCCAATGACAGCAATGATGACAGGACTCTGAAGCTCCTTTCTCTGTGACTACCCGCCTAAGGTACACACACACACACACACACACACACACACATACACACACACACACACGCAGAGACCACATGGCTGCCTGAGTCAAAACTATGGGTACACACCAAAGTCACAATCCCAGGGCTCCTCAGTGCCCTGAGAAGGTGGTAGATGGACTACATGTCCCCAGGGGCCCTGACCTGCCCCTAGGTCACCCTGGTCTATGAGCTGCTAGAGGTACCCAGGGCTCTCTGGCCCAGGATAGACAGCACAAAGAGGTGGCTTGACCACACAGGCCCCACAAGGTCCTGTAGGCGCCATGGAGGAAGAGGGGAAAGTTCTGAAGGGGAGAGAAAAGGAAGGGAGGTAACATGGGGAAGGAGAGGGAGACAGAGACTCGGGGGACAGGGGGCTGAGACTCAGGAAGGGGACAGACACCTCAGACTGGCCAGACACAAGGGTGGAGGAAGAGACAGGCAGGCAAACAGATAAGACTGGGGATGGCAGAACTCCTGAACCTGCCTTCCCCCACTACACACACAGCTGATCCCCAGATGTCAACATGTCCCCAGCTGAAAGAGACACAAAGAGAAAGCGACACAGAGAGATAGAGACACAGATCAGAGACAGAAAGAGAGAGACAGAGGAAGACACAGTGAGAGAGTGTCAAAAATACACAAGAGAGAGACAGAAAAAGAGAGTGATACAGAGAGACAGAGTACAGGAAGACAAAGACAGAGAGAGAGGCTTCCACCATTACTGGTTTACAGAAAAGATAAACTTCAGTGGAGAAATGAGGGGCTGTACTTTATGAAGATTCCATGAGGGCCAGCTGAGGGCAATCATGGGCACAGGTCTGAGCAGAGGGAACTGAAGTGAGCTGGGCTCAGGGAGGGCCTGACCACAACTGTGCCAGGGAACACTAAGATGGCGCCCCATGCATGCCTGCCCAAACTTGGCGGAGGTGGGGTGCTAAGGCTAGAAACCCCCTGCCTGCTGTGGCAAGGGAGAGCATCCTAGCCTACTGGTGTGCAAAGTGACACAACAGAGATCACCAGGCCAGGGACACAGGTGTGGGGCAGCACAGATGTACAGACTAGACCACTCAAGGGCTTGGCTCTGTGACTCCAGCTGGCTACTAGGTATCCCTGAACCTCTAGTGCAAGACCAAAGAGACATGTTTCCAGTACACTGGGCCTGCCCAAGTGAGATGGCAGGCCTAGGGTACGGAGAAGGAGCCTCCTTCCAGGCCTGAAGGACCTGGGCCCAAGACTGCTGCCTACGAGTGAAGTCTGAGCAAGTACCCAAAGCCAGTCCAACACCAACCAGAAGTGTCCCACCCCATGTCGCTGTGCTTCATGACATGTCAGCCACTGGGCTGCGGCCCCTCCTGAAAGCCAGGTCAGGGACTGGTGGCCTCTAGCATTGTCTCCTAGCATGTTGTTGGGGCTGTCTGGCCTTGTGCAGCAAGTTTAAGAGGTCCAAACACTTGCCCTAAGGCTAAGCCCCCAGGCACTATGGCAGGTGACCTAGCAGAGTCTGGGCAGCTCCTCTAACACAAGGTAGGTAAGGGGGCTAGGGAGGGGAGAAGAGAAGAGGGGAAAGGAGGGCCACACATAGGTAACCTCCACAGGTCTGAAGTAACCCACACCAGGAAGCCAAGCATGAAATTACCCTGAAAGCCCTAGCCAGGCAGACAGAGAAATTAAGGGGGGGGGGGGGGGCAAGTCCCCCCCAGGGAGGGGTGGCTTCCTACCTCCCAGTAATTACAACAGACAGCTGAGGGCAGTGGGGACTCTCCTCCCTTGGTGGCGGGGCTCCCAACCAACCCCAAGATCAATCTCACTGTCCTGGTCTTGGCTGTCACATACCACACGAATGTTGAGCTTGCCTGCCCCCTGACACCTCCGCCCCAATCAGGATCCCTTCACTGCTGCCTGGTGTGCAGCAGATATGCAGAAATGTTTGCTGAATGAATGAAGGAAGGAATGAATGAATGAGGATTAACTCTGTCTCTGCTACTAGAACTGCAAAGAACAAAACCTGTAGCACCTTCCCACATGCCGGGTGCAGACCTCAGTGTGGGGGACATTAACCCAGTAGGCTCTGGGGAGGCTCCAAAGATGGGCCTGTGTTATTCCCATATAGACTGCAACACGGAGGTCACAGGAAAACCCACCTGCCTTCTCTGATCTGCAGCATGCAGAATGTGAACTATGGTTCCAAGCACCAAGGCTTCCACGTGGCAACTGATAGTCTAAAGCCTCCTGCCAGCCATATACCAAGCTGGACACCAATCTATGGTTTGCACATCTCCAACACCACCACTTTTCTATATGAGGTTTGTTTTGTTTTTGAGATAGATCTTGCTAGACAGCAAGCTGGCCTCAAACTCACAATCCTACAGCCCCAAGTACAAAGATTACAGGTGTATGCCCCCAACTGACTACGGTGCTCAGTCTACTTTATAGGACCCAAGTCCATAGTCACATTATTGCAAGGCTCTTGGCTTCACATTCAGGGAATTTCTGGGTTTCTCCTTGTGACCTCTCCCTTCCCCACACAGGCCCAAGCATTCTGGATCTTTCTCACCCTAGCCAGGCAGTAGAGCCTGCCAATCATCAGCTCATCTAGGGCCTGAGCTGCCCCAAAGACCTGGGAGGCTCCTGACTTTCCACCTGGGTCCCACAGCCATCACCTCCCAAGTTTCCAAGGCCTGAATCCTATGTCGTGGTCAGAGCCATCCAAGGCCCCTCTGACAGTCGTCAGAGCCAGGAGGCCACCCATATATTTAGAGCTGGAACTCTGTACCCCACTCTGCTTCTGATTCCCACCCTGGGACCATGAGCTGCTGGACCAGCCCAGCCCCCACCTGTAAGGAACATCTAGAACAGGGGCAGTCATGGAGAAGGAAACAGACTGTAGCTGGCCTTGGCCAGGAGGACACTAAGGGATCCAGGGCTTCCTCTGAGAGCTGCTGTGCAGAAAGAGCCCGTTGAAATGTGACCACCCAGAAGCTCCTGTCATACTCTAAGGAGTGAGCCAATATGTGTGCAAATTCTCTCCCCCTCTCTTTCTCCCTCCCTCCCTCTCTCCCTCTCATAAAAACTGGGAAAAAAGAACACAAAACAGACATCAGGACCCCTGTGTTCCAGCCCCAGACTTGACTGTCACTCAGACTCAGCCACACTTGGGCAGAGGGAACAGATCACAGCTGCCAAGTGAGCCACTGGCCATACCCAAAGACCCCTGGCCCACCATGGGCGATGACGCCACCTCCCTAATTAAGGTGGCTTTGTCTTGTCACACATTGCCCAGCCCTTAGCTGGGTGCCCCAGCCTCCGTGTACTTCCACACCTCACCGCCTGCAGTGTCACAAGCTCTTTCTCCTGTGGCCATCACAGTGAACCTGAAGATGAATTCTCATCTCAGTCTGTCCTGTAAAGGTAACGTCTTCCCAGAAAGTAAAGCCTGGAGGCCAGGAAGCCTGAAGCCGGAAGGCCTAGAGCACCCTCCTAGGCCTGCTCCGGCCTGGCTGCAGCTGCTCTGTGATCACCTAGATCACCTGGCCCCAGGGCTATTGTACAGTCATTCCACCTGCCCGGGAGCTCTGCACAGCAGCAGCTGCTGAGGCCTCAACCAGTCACTTCCTGCCCAACCTCCTGGGCCAGGGTCCCCTTCCCTCTCCCCATTTACTCCCTTCTCAGAACTTTCTTTAAAAAGAGAGTAAAAGCCTGTACTGATCTAACAGTGCAGTGTTGAGTGGCACTGTGGCACCCACAGCAATATGAAAAGCCTGACCATTCTAAGCATGCACAGCTTACAATGTTCTAACAGATGGGAGTTTAAACAGAAAACTCGCCGCTCTGTGAGAAACCTCACTCCCTCAGCTCAGCATGTGTGAGTTAGTGCCTGGGCTGGGTGTCACCCCAGCACCACCATAGCATCTCCCTTTTCTCCTCTTTCTTCTTTGTATCTTTCCTGGTTTTAGATACCATGGTCTTACTATGTAACCCAGGCTAGCCTGAGTGCTAAGCTCAAAGGTGTGAGCCACCACTCAGAATTCAACATCTGCTGGAGTCTGAGGATGTCAAATAAACCAATCCAATTCCTCTCTGCTGAGCACAGTCAGCTGATCTACTGCAGACATTACCTGTGCAGGACCTGTCTTGGCCTTGAGCCCCCATTGTTTTTATAACGGGTAAGGTCCCATGACTCTCTTATGGGACATGAAACGTCAAGTGACAAAGGCTTTTGACACTACCATCCCCACCACATCAGGCTGGGCGTGGCCATGAATCCCTCCTCCATCACTTGGGAGGCTGAGGCAGGAAGACAGGGGTTCTAGGCAAGCTGGGGCCACAGTGTCTCAACAAACTAACAAAAGGAGACCCAGCCCAGGTGTCAGGGCACCAAGGCCAAAGCTTACGATGGGCAAGACTCTAGAGAGCTGCGTTTTCTTATTGAATCCTTCACACTTCTCTCTGCTGCTTGTCAAAAGTCAATGATGGAATAGATCTTTGTTCTGTCCAGAGTCCACAGGGCAAGGACAGGGTCTGGCAAGAGTCCCCAAGGGAGGGAACAAGTGAGTAAATGAGTGAGTGGATGAATGAGCCAGTGAATGAGTGAATTAGTAAATGAATGAGGGGAAAAAAGAATGAGCAAGTAAATGAATGAATGAGGGAATAAATGAGTGAGTGAATGAGCAAATAAACAACCCAACACTGGGCTTGGTGGCTCATGGCCTCTGGCCCCCAAAGTGGCTGTGCCAAACCCTTATAACAGCCTGTTACACCTTCTCTTCTCCAGCCCTCTCCTCAGGGCTGGCTGCCAGGTCCCACAGGGCACAGAGTACAGAAGGATTAGAGCCCAGGGTCAACAAAGACAGCCATAGCAGCTGCTTGACCAACACTGCAGCACAGGTAGAGGGCCACAGGGTGTTAGCAAAGACATCCCAGCAGACACAGAAGGGCAGCAAAGGGTGACTACATTCAGACCAGGCACAGGACCCTCCTGGAGCCCAGCATCAGTGATGCAGAGAACCCTTGAGAACCAGGAGGGGTGCTTGCCTCCAGGGATGGGCACTCAGGACCACATACTCCACACTTCTTCCCCACGGATAGTCAGGTCCCTGCACCACCTGTTGAGCCCACCAAGCCACTATGATAACACCAGCTATCAGACCCCAGAACTGCCTGGTGCCCCACCACACCCCACCATATGGCATTTAAGAGACACTTTCTGCTCCCAGTCTCCATCTGGGACATATCCCATGTGCCTCATCCTAAACCCCAGGATTAGAGCTCAGGCACCCAGTGAGCTTCACAGCAGCCCACACTCAGATGGCTGCTGGACACAGCTGGTTCCTCTCTGCCCAGCCCATCTCCTGACACCACAGCCTTCCACCCCCATCTCTGTCCCCAAGTTTCAGGGTACCATTCCCTCTGACCTAGTCCTGCTCTGAGCTCAGCTGTGGCTCCGCTTGGCCCAGGAACGCACCCAGACTGTGCCCACATGTCTCCTGACCTGCAGGACTAAGCTGGTACCCACAAGGCAATCACTCACATTTTGATGTTCTCATGATACTGGCGTGTGTCAGATGGCTGGTTGTACAGCGGCTGCAGAGGAAGAAAGAAGCAAGTCGGAAGTGGCCAAAGTGGGTGACAGGGTATGGCAGGCTGGTGTCACCAGTCAGAACCTGTGGCCCCAGAGCCTGAGACCCTGGTACCAGGAGTCACCTCCTACTGAGTAATCAGATACTGTTTATTAGACACAAGGACCTGTAGAACCTGGCCAGGAACAGGCTACCTGTATCCTAGGGCCCAGTGTGGGGACCAGGACCCTGCCCCCACCCTCACCCAGGTGGCTTAGCTGCAGGACACTTGGGATCAGCTTAGCATCTAGATCACCATGGAAACCCAGGGTGCTGACAAGGCCCCTTCCCCCACCTCAAAGACAAAAACCACCAAGTGTGGGAGGCAGTGAGTAGTAGCCACAGTCACAAGGCCTCAGGAGACTTTTCAATTGCTGAACAGCCTCTCTCTACTGCCTACAGCAGGCCACACAAGGCCTCTCCAGACAGAGGAAGAAAGCCTAAAATGCTGGGCCACCCCTCCTGCGGCACCCGGAGTGTCAGCCAGAACAAGATGCATGCAGCAACCATGGTGTTGACACATCTAAGTCAATGAACATCTGCCTTGAAATATACAAGGGACTACCTAGCACTCAAGACACCATGCATGCCCCTCAGCAAGAACCCACTAACCAGGGCCACGCCGCACAGCAAGGGCAGAGTGTGGCCATGAGACCTGCTATGGGTCAGGAGATCAGCCAGCAGCCCATGTCCCCCAGGCAATGGCAGGAGTCAGGAGCAAGGCGAGTCCTGAGTTCCAGTTTTGCTTGTGTGTTCTCTGGCTCATTTCTCCGGCATACTGCATCATCTGTGTGCCTCAATTTCCCTCGTCTATAAAATGGGACACTACCCAGGGTTATGGCAAAGATCAAAGGTAGTAACTATGTAGTAACATGTCTTTCCCACACCTCCCCATACCCACCCTGCCCTTCCTGATACTGAAGGCACAGACAGAAACTGAATGAAAGCAGTACTTGGCCAGCATGTGCCTTGGGTCTGCTTTCTCTGTCCAGTGCATGGATTTCACATGGCCTGAAGGAAGTGGGTAGAGAGGTCAAAGGTGGAACAGAGACTCACTCAGATCCACAAGCCACCTCCCAGAGGTCTCCACAAGCTTCCAGATGGCAGAGACATAGACACAGGTGTCTAGTTCTTCAGGGGAAGCTGCTTTGTTACACAGTGCTAGCTCATGATGCACTTACTACGCACTTCACAGATGGGAAGCTCAAGGCTGGTGGGGAAAATATGCCCATAGCCTGGGCAGCAAACCTGAACTCTACCTGCCCTCACGCTGCCATCCTCTGTTTGCCTCCTTCTTGTTTCTTGTTCCTACCATACCCAGAGGAAAGAACTTCATAAGAGAGCAGGCAGAATAGGTAATGGAAGGGGTCCAGAGTACTGGACCTCAAGACGGGAGAGATGGAGGCTCCCAGGAGAATTTCCACAGGAGGTAGAGCATAGCTCTGGACCACTGTGGTAACCACGCCTGCCTCCCTTTGGAACCATAACCAACCAGGCCTGCCATTCAGAGACAAGGAGGGACCTGCAGAAGGGCACCAATTCTCATGCCCCATAACTCCCCAGGGCCTCAGGCAGCCTAACCCTGAGTTCAACTGTTCTCTTGAAAATGAGAGTTCATGCAACTTCATGGACTGTTTCTCCCTCATGGATCAGCACCTCCCATGGGTGCATAGCCTGAAATAGGGGAGGTATCCTGAGCACAGGAAGGGAAGAAGGGCCAGGACAACAAGAGAACCTATAGTCAGACTGGCTGCAGAACTGCCCAGTGGGGAGTTGTCAGCCATTCCTGAAGAAGGTAGTGAGCCTCCCCAGCCCCCCACCACCGGCGAGGAGAGCACAGGGGCCCTGTGAAGATGCTTGAGTGGCACTGGTACAAGGGACAGCTGCACTAGATCCTCTGTGTTCCCTACATGCCAATAAAACAAAGGGCAATGTGAATAGGCGTGGCTTAAGGGCTTGGGCTCTGGGAACGATGAACCAGACTTAAACAAGCTCTGCCTTGTATGAGCTTGAGCAGATGCCTCAATTTCCTCATCTAGAAAATGGGCCCAGGGCAGAGGACCCGCCTCATGGACTTTTCAAATAGCCTGGAGCATTCCAGACCTAGTGACTGTTTTGCTCTAATTTGATCTTAAAGATGGCAAACAGTTCATGGGGCAAGAAAGGATCAGGCCCCAGGGGACACCCAGGCCCAAGAGGGCAGCAAGGGACAAGCCCCAACCCACCTTGCTGGGAAGTCAGGACAATGCTACCAGAAGCACTGAGGGGCTCTGCTGCCTCCTCAACCACAGTGACACCCTGAGGTCACCCTCACAGGGGCCAAGGGCCTGGGCTAAAGGACAAGGACACATGAGGGAGTGTGAAGTATCTGTCCTCTCCATTAAAGACAAGAGGGCACAGCTGCATGCCCCAGCTGTGAGCGCCCTTCAGCCTGGCTGCAAGCCAGGTTCAGGGTGACCAAGCTTGTAAGAAATGGATTGACAGCCTAGCCCTCAGGAACACCGTGCTCTTAAAATTATACCTCGGAATAGGAAGGAAGCAGGTGACTCAGAGCAGCACATACAAAAAAAGCCCACAGCCTCCAGTCGCCTCCCATGTGGCCAGTATGGACCCTGCCCAGCACAAAGATGCTCTGGGCTACACTGAGTCACAGGGATCGCATGCATAAGGCCTGCATAGGCCCCCAGACTATAGCCTGCTTAAGGCAGACCCCTGAAGCCCATGGCTCACTTTCTCCCTCCCTCTGGTGCACAGGGCAGCACCAACTCCTGGCTGCACTCAAAGCTGTAAATGGGAGACCCATGTCCTAGCTGGCTTTAACTGTCAACTTGACACACTCTAGAGTCATCTGGGAGAAAAGCCGCAACTGAGGAATTATACTGGCCTATGGGCATGTCTGTGGGGGCATCGTCCTGATTAGTAACTGATGTAGGAGGGCCTAGCCCACTGTGGGACACAGTATTCTGTAAGCAGGTAGTCCTGGGCTACATAAGAAAGCTAGCTGAATATGAGCCAGTGAGTGAGCCAACAAATAGAATTCCTCCATGAATTCTGCCTCAAGTTCCTGCTTGGGTTCCTGCCTGACTTCCCTGCAAGCCGAAATAAACACTTTCCCCTAAATTGCTTGTGGTCAGAATGTTTTATCACAACAACAGAATAGAAACTAGATCACCAGAGGACTGGATTCCCCATGATGGCCCAGTGACCACAGCCCAGGTAAGTAGCACCTAGGCAGGTGCAAAACAACTTCAGCCCAAGTACACACGGCAGCCCTATGCATGGCTGACCACACTCAGACTAGCATTCTCCTGACCTCATTTCTCACTGTGTGACTGGGCAAAGCACTGCCCTCTGTGAGCCTCATCCAGGAAAAGGGGATGGTAACAATACCTAGAGACCTACCTAACACTAAGTGCCCTATCAGTGTGAGTCCCCTCCCTACCAACACAGTAGGTACCTTGTCAACAAGAGTTCCACCCCTGTTCTCCCCAGGTCACTGTGCCTCCTGACAGCTATCCATCAAGCTTGTAGGCACTAAGTCTCAGCTGCACTGAGTCCCTCTAGCAAGAGAAATCCCCTTTTCGACGAGGGGGCAGAGTTCATGGTGATAAAGCCCTGCCTACCCTTCTTGGCTATGTCCTCAGGTCCTAAGCCAGCAGATCTCCCAGGCTCCCAGAGACCTACCATGAAACAGAAGGGAGAGCCTTGAATCTGGACTGGATGACGGAAAGGAGTAACAAGGCAGCATACAGCTCACTGGTGGGGGCATGAGATGGACAACCACCTTAGAAATTAGTTGGGAACTTCCCAGCAAATAGCTAAACAGGAGCCAGTGACTCTACAACCAGGTGTGTGTGTAACCAGAGAGACAATCAGTGAGTGCTGGTGTGGGGTGAGCTTTATTCCCAGTTGACAAAACCAAAATCCACCAGATGTCACCAAATGAGAATAAAAAGAAAAAATGGAGTCCAGATACACGGAGTGTAATGCAGTCTTGAAAAGAAATGGAGCACTGACATAGGCCACAGTGTAGAACCTTGAGCACAAGATGGAGGGGGAAGAGGGATGGGGTAAGAGAGAGAGGAAGGGAAGGAGAAAGGGAGAAGGAGAGAGAGAGGAAGGGAGAAAGAGAGTGAGAGAGAAAACAAAAGGCCACAAGCTGCATGGCTCCCTTCAAAGGAAATGTCCAGAAAGTCAAGTGCAGCGAGACAGGGCTACTTTGGACTGCCGTGTCCCACACATCTGTGAATCACCAGATAGAGCTGGCTGAGCCACACAAAAATGGCTAAACTGTCCTGTGTGTGGCACATTCAGTGACTAGAGTATAAGGCCCTTACCCCAAGCAGTGCAGGGCCTGGCACCCATCTACCATCTGGACAGGATTGGGGCTGTGGGGGCAGACACTCATTCACCCTCACTGTCTACATAGGGCACGCCAGGGGCCTGGCTTCAGCTTTCCCTCTCCACGGAGCCCTTCCCACTATAGCCAGAAGTCTCCAGAGCCCTGCAGGGAGCACACAGCACCCAGGGCTCACATGCACTCCATGAGTGCAAAAGTACATCCCAGGCCCCTACACCCACTCTGCACCCACAGGCCAACAGCACCTGACCCCATAGCCAAGAACACTAGGGCTGTACCATGGGCAGGGAGGAACCTCACAGTGGACAGTGGGTGGAAAGACACTTCTGTCCCCCTACTTCAATAGCTCCCTAAGGCCAGGGTGCCTCCCACCTTGCTTTGACACAGTGACACCAACAGGGAAACAGTAACAGGAACAGTAAAGGCTGACCTTCTAGCCACAGTGCGAGAGACCTATTGAGGGTCACACAGCATCGGCTTAGGGAGAGGTCAAACCAGCTGATCCGGGATGATTCTAAGGCAGAGCTGGAACCAACGTCCTGGACACCAGCTGACACCACCTGAAGCGGGCACAGGCCGCTTCATGAATGGCCAGAGGCCTATAGGAGGGCTCAGGCCCACAGCAGCTCACTGTCCAGCAGCCTCCCTGCATTATCTGCAGAGCTCTTATCAGAAGGGGTTGTTTCCTGCCTCCTCTTGAGGACAGTACTGGGCTGAAGATGACTTCCTCCTCCCCTATTTCTTCTTCCTGCCCCTCCTCCTCCTCCATCTCCTCCTCTAGCTCTTTCTCCTCCACCTCTCTACCCTGCACTCGCTGCCCAGCCCCACTCCCCTACCCAAAGTAGCCCAGCCCCACTCACCAGCTCCACCTGGGGCCCCAGACCTTCCAGGATCCGATGCGCAGCTTCTGCCTTCTTCTGCAGGGTTAAAAGAAGATGGAAGTAATTAATGAGCACTCGGGCAGACTGGCACCAGCGCCTCTCAGAACACTGCAGCCCAGCCTGCAGGGAGGTCCCCTGGCCAACCAGGCAGGAGCCAACTGGGGGCAGGGACCAAGAATGTGCTGGGGTGGGCCCCCCAAAGCAAGGCCCAGCTGGGACCTGGCTGTGGCAGGCCCACAAGCTCAGGCAAACCCAGACACAGCCTTACCCACCACCCTCTGCCAGGCCTGAAGGCCTCTGGTGTTTGCTGTCCTTGAAGCCAGTGTAGCAGGAGGGAACACTGGTGCCTCTTAGGAACCCATGTCACAATTGGGTAGCTATTCCCGGCCTCCCACCCCTCCCTCCGAACCCACGACTCATTAGAAAAACAGGAGCCTGCAGCAGAGGGCCCTTTGGCTGTAGGGACACCCCGACAGATGACCTTGTCCCTCAGGCCCCAGAATGAAGGCAACATTGTGTCTCTGCCTGGCCACTTGCCCAGGTGGGACCACCAGGACCCATTCACAGGAGGCGAAGGACCAATACACACACCCTGCCCCAGATGTGCTCTGCAAACTGAAAGGCCAGTGGAACACAAGCCACTCCCTCAGCAAGGTGACACAAGCTGGGTTCTGAGGAGTGAACAGGAATGTGTGTGTGTGTCAGGAAGCTCTGTGAGGATCAATACCTACTGTGCATTTAGATAAAAAGGTAGCAGCCAAACACAATAGGGCTATGAGGAACTGTGGCCTCACAGTGGGAATGAGGGCTAAGATGCAGGGACTCTAGGACCCTGCATCCTATAAACCACAAGCACCAGGTGGCCAGATCCACAGACTGTGTGATGCTGTGCTACAAGGTGCTGACAGGTCCACTGTTATTCGTTCGGGAGAGAGGACACCCCCAGGGAGGGGTGGCTGGGAACACAGAGGCAAGTGGCTGGCTCAGTCCCACTCCAAAACCCTCTTACACTTCTGCCCCTGGGGAGCCCAAGCCACACCCATGCCATGGTGGACAGGACCCCTATCCTATGGCTCTGCTGCCCAGCATGCCAGGTCTACCACCTCCAGGTCTTCACACTTCCTCCCACCCACCTGACAAGCCCCACCCAGCTTCTTCCCCACAGAGGTCTCCACCTCCCTCAGGTTATCCTCCTTGTCCCTATTCTTACTGGCCTACAAGGCCACAGGAGGGCCACGAGGAAGCAGCCATCCTGCTAGGCTAGCCTCTGTCCAGGGGTACAGAGACACTGTGGTAGCTCAATCACCCAGACTAAGTCTTCTCACTCCTGCTCCAGGATGACCACAGCCCTGCTAGATAGAAACGGGAGGAAATGCCTCTACCCCAAGTCCCAAATTCCACTCCCGCAAGCATGTATTCTGGTTCCAGGTGCCCATATCCCCACCTTGACATCTTAAGCCTCTGAGTGGACCTCTAACCTTCTCCTCCCAACCTGGCTCCCAACCACCCCACCAACACTGGCACTGGCATACAGCAGGCACCCAAATGCCAACTAACTATTGTAGTCCCCATGTGGAGACAAGGCCAGCTTGCCATAGATGCTGGCACATACTAATTATGAGCCAGCCCTACCTGTGATGTGCTGGGTTTTGTTTTGTTTTGTTTGTCAACTTGACAAAAACTAGAGTCATGTGGGAAGAGGGACTCTCAACTGAGGAATTTCCTCCATCCTATTGGCCTATGGGCACGTCTGTGAGGCATTTTCTAAACTGCTAATTGATGTGAGAGGACCCAGCCCACGGTGGGTGGTGCCATCCCTGGGCAAGTGGGTCTGAGATGTGTAAGAAATAATGGAGCAAGCCAGGAAATGCAAGCTAGTAAAGCAGCACTCCTCCATGGTCTCTGCTCCAGGTTCCTGCTTGAGATCCTGCCTTGGCTTCCCTCAGTGACAGATTATCACTTGGAAGTATAAAATGTAGTAAACCCTTTCCCACTGAAGTTGTTTTTGATCACAGAGTTTTATCACAGCAACAGAAAGCAGACTAGGACACCCTGCATGATCCAGGCCCACACAGGCAGGCTGGCGGTGAGATAGCCTGAGCCCAGAGGGCCTGGGGCCAAGTGGGACCACCAAGTCTTCAGCCACCAGCATACTGAACAGAGCAAGATGTCATGGTCAAGCACCAGCATCTAGACTGACACAGAGAGAGCACACACGTGTCCACATAGCCAAGGCTGTGCATACATAACATATGCATACAAGCAAACACAAAACGTGGTGTATAAATGTGTGGTGACCCCACACACATTTCCACTTGTCACACAGGTGAGCAGATACATAGGGCACAGCATCAGCTCTCACTGCCTGCTCTAAAGATCAAAGATAATGTGTCTGTGAGCTGCCTCCCCCCATGACACGCCCTTCCATACTCCTGAGGGCCACCCCCACCGCACCCCCACCACCACCAACACACTGGCTCCAGCTGTCCCTACTCCTTGGACAGTCTGGGAGGTGGAAAAGTTACAAGGTGGCCTTGGAGGCAGATGTGCTCCAAATGCATAAGGCCTGTGAGTAGCCCAGCCTCTGCCAGCGGAACAGCTAGAAACAGGTCCCTACCCTGCCTCTTTGAGGAACCAGCAAAAAGAAAAGCAGATTAAAACTTTGAGGAACCAGCAAAAAGAAAAGCAGATTAAAACTTAATCCTATTGAGAGCATCAAGGGACACTCAGTCCTGCTGAGGAGCCATGGCTGGCAAGCTAGCCTGGGCAGAGGGACCCCTGCCAGCTCCACACCCCCACAAACAGGGGCAGGATACCTTCTCTGCCCAGTCTTCCTGCCAACTTACACCTCCCCAGCAAGTTCCCTGAGCACCTACCCTGGCTATGATGTGGCCCTCACCTAGTGCAGGGCTAAGGAAAGTGGAGCCACCAGGAAAACGGGTGCCCAAGGGTTTCCAGGGTTAGATGGAGGATGCAGAGGGGCCTCATGGAACAGCGGCAACATGCAAAGGACAGCAGGAAGAGGAGTGAGCAAGGGCCCTAGGTATGTGACTACACTTAGGCCAGGGACTTGTGTTCACTGCTTCCGAGTTACCTGCCCACTCCAGGATCAGGAAATAGGGATGTTACCCTCCCTCACAGGTTCCTGGAGCCAGTTCAATCTTGGTTCCCCAAAGCTCACTTGCACAAAGATGCCCTGCCCTCTCTGAGCCCCAGTGACTTCCTAAGAGACGAGGCTCTACCTATTCCCTGTGGATCCTGAGGCACATGGATTCAAGCAAAATGCCCATAGTCACAGAGGAAGGAAGTAGGAGAGGTGAGATTCAAACCCAGGACATCAGGCACAAGCCTGTACAGGCCTTGGCTCTCCTAATCATTATGACTGCAAGAAAAGATGAGGGAAGGTGTCCTGACTTGGTTCCTGGGCCCAAAGGCTCAGCCCCAACCTGCACTACCTTGTTGCTTCTAGTGGGGAGACATAGTCAAGCAGCCTGACCCAGCAGTCCCTGCCATGACATGGCCAACAGTCCCACATGCTTCCTGGATCCAGAAATGACCACTGGGAAGGGTGACCAGGGGCCTCAATCATGAGGGGAACCAGGTTGCCACAGTAGGGAAAATGGTCTCCCACTTGTGGCACTTTGCTGTGTGATCTCAGGAGATGCCAGTCCCTCTCTGGGCCTTGGTTTCCTGTCTGTCAAATAAGGAGGGCTGGAGGCAGTCAACAGTCACAAGTCCAAAGCTCATCAGGAAATCGGTCAATCACAGAGCCAGATACAAAGGGTAAGCCCATGGCCTCCCAGACGTGGGTCTAGAGCAGGGACCACACATCCCGCTCTCACAAGCCAGTCTCTGGCCAAATCCAAGCCTCCTCTGAACCCAGTGGTACCTCCCACCCTAGGGCCCCTGTGGGGTGCATCCCAGTTCAAATCCCAAGTCTACCAATCCCAGCTGTGTGGCTCTGAACAAGTCACTCCACCTCTCTGGGCCTCAGTTTCCCCATATTAAAAAGGGAAACACCTACCATCCACATCCTCCTAGGACTGACCAGGGGAGCTCAGTGGTAATAGCTGTGTTTGTCAATATCGGTGTCACTGTGCATGTCACGAGGATCTGCCATACATGTATGAGGTGACTACCTGTCCCATGACCAGCTGGCCCCCCTCACTCTCCCCCAGTCCAATGCTTGCATTATCACACAGTATCCCACAGGCTAGCTTTCCCCACCCACTTGGCAGCCCGCCTGGGCAGAAGTGGCATGTATTCTGGGGCTCAGGGTGACTGTCACTCCTGCAGGCCATACCCGGTTCTCGTCGTAGATGATCTGGACCAGGCTGCGGTGCTTGGACTCGATGGGTGGCGGTGACACGGGCTTCTCTGGCTCAGGCGGCTTGGCGGCCTCCTCCTCCAGCTGTTGCTGCAGGAGAGGGGACAGTGTGAACCGGAAGCTGGGGCACAGTACCCTCTCTCCATAGCCACATGCAGGAAGTCAGGCTGATTGCCATTTCCTATGAGTCACTGGGGACTCTGTGCCCTGCTTGGCCAGGCTCCCTGCTGGTCGTGCCTCCAGCCTATGCCAGCCCTCCTGGGTTCAAATCCTGCCCCAGATACAGGCAAGCAAAGAAAGTGGAAGGAGGGGCTTCACCCCACTGGGCCTCAGTTTCTCCTTTGTGCAATGAGGCAGATGTTCAAGTTCAGTGAGGACTGCATGAGGTGATGCAAAGGTGCATGCAGCTGGCTTGCAAGGGCCAGCCATTCTTATCTACCACACTCCCCAGAGCCAGGACAGGCTTCAGGAGAGTCAATGCTCTGCTTCTGGCCCTCCAGATGAACAGCCTGGAGATGGCACGTGTTTCTCTAGGCCTCACATTCCTCCTTTGGAAATGAGCTACCAACCGAGTGAGGACAACACCAGCAATGTGTGGGAGCACTGGGGAGGCACAAAGGAAGACGTAAGACACAGCTTTTCATCACACCATCATCATCACTGAAATAACCACCATCATCACCATCATCACCATCATCACAATCACCACCATGAGGGCTAGAGAGTGGCTCCATCAGTTGAGAGTACTGACTGCTCTCCCAGAGGATCTGAGTTCAGTTCCCAGCACAAAGAGGTCAACAACTGTCCGTAATTTCAGTTTTAAAGGAATCCAACGCCCTCTTCTGACCTCCACGGGCATTGTACAACATGGGTACACTTACACACATGCAGGCACCTACACTCATACACATAAAATAAAAATAAATAAAATATTTTTTTAAAAAAGAGACTGAAGAGATGACTCAGCAGTTAAGAGCACTGATTGTCCTTGCAGAAGAGCCAGGTTCAAATCCCAGCATCCACACAGTGGGTAACAACTGTTTATAACTCATTTCCAGGGGATCTGACATCCTCTTCTGTCCTCCACAAGCATTGCATGGCATGAGTACACTTACATACATGCAGGCAATACACTCATACACATAAAATAAAAATAAATGAATTTAAATAAATAAATAAATAAATATATATATATATATATAACAATCACCACCACCACCACCATCATCTGCCTGTGTCCTCACACTGGACCTCTCCATCCCTTGGATCCAGCATCCCTTCCTGCCACTGTCTACTTACTCCAAAGATGGAAGCCAAGACCAGAGTTCAAGACACTGACCTCACACAAAAGGCCAATGCCCAGTGTGCCCTATGTAGGGTGCTCTGAGCACAAGCAGAACTAGCTCCACTCTGCTTGTGACACAAACAGAGCTGTGACTAAGAGACAAAGCTTTATGACACTTAAAAGGCAGCCAAGGAGAGCACAGTGCAGGAATAGGCAGCATTGAGAGCCAGATGAACCAAGCTGCCTTGGTCCAGTAGTGACCCCAGAAGCTCACACATGGTAGCGAAAGAATGAAGCCAGGAAACGAAACAAGCACAGGGCTAGACAGAGTAGGCACTAGGGGTATCTGGCCATCAGGCCCACAGAAAAAAAGTGTCTCAGGCATAGGCCAGCTAATATAGCACACCTCCCAGGCTAGAGTCAGACCTTAGTTCCATCACTCAGGATTCTGGAGCTGCAAGTCACTGCACCTCTCTGTCCCTCAGTGTCTTCTTCAATATAACCTGGGAGAGACGCTGCCTATCTTTTGGAAGATCCAAAAGACACTGCACAGGAAATCCTGGTGTGGGTGGGGCTGTGTGGAACCACAGCTTCATACAACCCTAAACTACACTATAGGGAGCAGCACTGCATAGGTGCAGTCTGGAATCAGAACCGAGTGAAAACCTGGAAAAGCTGGACACTCACATGCCGCTTGTAGAGGAACACTAAGGCGCTGCAGCCACTATGGAGAAGGCCAGCAAGCACCTCAGTGACACACAAGGGTCACCATAGCTCAGCAAATCTACTTCCAAGTCTACACCCACAAGAACTGGAAATAGTCACTCAGACAAACTCTGGAACTCTCCTGTCCGGAGCAGCGCCCACTGGTAGCACACACCACAAAGTGCAATGTAGCCACATGCTGGAATACACTTGGCCATGAAGAGAAGTGAGGCTCTGCTCAGTAAATCCCGAAATCCCTATGCTGAGGGAAAGAGCTAATGTGTGTGAGTCCATCCATGTATGGAGAGTGCGAAGAGTAGCTCCATCAACAGATGCACAGAGGCTGGAATTAGGATGACTTGCTAGATAAATGGCTCTGAGTCTTTCAGGGCAAGGAAGAAGGAAGGGGCAACTGCCCAACATGGTCCACTGCCCAACGCCACTGAATTGTAAACTTTAAAATGATTATGTTTGGGGATTTTAGTTTAAGGGGGGAGGCTGGCGAGATGGCTCAGCAGTTAAAAGCATGTACTGCTCTTGCAGAGAACCTATGTTCAGTTCCCAGCACCCACAACAGGCATCTTACAACCACCTAAAGTAACTCCAGCTCCAGGGGCGTTACTCTTCTGACCTCCAGAGGCACCTGCATACATGTGGCACACACATGCATGCACACGCACATGCATGCAGGCATACAAATAAAATGAAAAATTAAAAATCAGAAAGAGGAGCCAGAAAGATGGCTCAGAGGGTAAAGATGCTTGCTGCCAAGCCTGACAACCTGAATTTGATCCCCAAGACTTACACAACGGAAGGAGAAAACCATGGGTCAGTCATGCCTTCGTCCCTGTGGCCTGGGAACCTCAGTCACTTGGTAATCAGAGAGTAAAGGCACTTGCATGAGCGGGTTGCCTAACAACCTGAGTTTAATCCCCAGGACTTACAGAGTAGACAAACTGACTCTTGCAAATTGTCCTCTGCCTTCCACATGTACACCAATACCACCTCCCAAATAAATGTAAGTTTTAAAATATTTGTTTAAAAAGATACCACTTACAAGGCAATTTAGGGGGGGAAAAAAAAAGAAGAATAAAACCCCAATCACCAAGCACTGTCCTAGCAGCCTGGCCTCTAGCCTCAGTCACATACACAGATGTGCATGCTTGTGGCTTTAGATGACCCCAAAGCCAGGCCTTGGGTACTGAAGGTGTCAATTCTCTGTCAGCCAGATATGACCAACCTGACTATGCCTAGCCTCGCTCTAAAATACTGGGCTGCGATCTTGGAAGTCCCCATTACCCTGCATCTGGGCCACCCAGATGCTCGTACGAAGGACAGCCTGGGGCTCTTTTCCTATCCAGACAGCTCTCCCAGAGAGGTCTTGGTCCACTGTTTGTGGTGCAAGGAGACCTATTGGAATCTGTCTATGGGCACCTAGGTATGAGCCCATTGTGCCCAGCCCAGAACCCCCAAAGTCAAGACATATCCACAGACATCACAAACTCCTTCATGCGCTGCCACTGCCCAAAGGCCCTGGGTATAGAAGACATGGGTGGCCAGCAGTGTTTCCATGAAGTTCAGTCAGTGCTGGGACTTGGGGGCTGTGGTGTGGGGGCTCAGCTCTACCTAAAGTACTAGAGTAGCCATGATGGTGTACACTATAGTGTAGCTGAGTGCCAATTAAGCTCTATTCATAACCCGTGGGACCAGTAGCTTGACCTGGGGATGGGGGTTGCTGGGAAGCCTAGGCCATCCCTTCTGCAGAATACCTGAACTGAGGTCCGAGTAACACCAGGGAGGGAACTGTGGCTGGGGAAGGCAGATTACCCATCAAGTTTATGTTAAAGTCTTAAAATTGTAACTGTCATTGAAATTTATGGCATTGGCTTCCCTTTTTTTCTTTCCATTCAGCAGTGCTAGGCATTAAACTCAGGACCTCTTATATACTAGGCAAGTTTTCTGTCACTAAGCCATATTCCTGTAGCCCTAGGCAGAATAGAACTTGCTGTGTAGAACAGGCTGGCCTCAATCTCACAGAGACCCATCCAACCTGCCTCTGTCTCCTAAATGCTGGGATTAAAGGTATGTACCATCATGCCATGGCCCCTCTTTTATGAGACCAGGTTTCAGTTGCAAAGACTGGCCTTGAACTCACTCTATATAGTCCAGGCTAGCCTTCAACTGTCTATCCCCGACTCAGCCTCCTGACTAGCTTCAATGACAGGTTTGCACCACCAGGTCTGATTTCTCTGTGCTTATTAACCTGGCTTCAACAGTCATGAAGGGTTTTACTTTTTATTTTGGGTCCTGATCCCTCCTCAGAGCTCTGGAAGATACATGGCATATTTGTGCCCATTTTCCCAACAAAGAAACTGAGGTTCCATAAGGCAAAGGCACCAAGGCCAAAGTTGAGCAATGAGATTCAGAGGCCTGGTCCCAAAGGATTCCAGAGCCAGAGTCAGGTCCACCAGGCCCTGAGAGACAACAGCCTGCTCCACTGGCTGGGAAGCAGGGAAAGCAGGAGGTGTGCTTCCCAGGGTGCCTGACACTGAGCCCTGGACCTCCCCACACCTCTCACATGCAGAGCATATGCCATTACACTATTTACATTCAGCTAAAAGTTCAACAACTCAGTCAAGTGACCAGATCAAGACTTGTGTTCAAGACTCATGATGGCCATGGTGGTCACAGAAGTGACATGGGGTTCATGCAGGCAGGGACAGTGAATGTGGAGAGCAGGAAATCATGCGGCACCAGGCTCCTGCCTCTGTCCACACTGCTGGGCTGTGCCCATCTGCACTTACCTGCTTCTTCTTCAGCTTTGAGATCTGCTGTTCCACCATGGTGATCTCACGGTCCACACGGTCCATGTTCTGGATCAGCTCCTCCTTAGAAAGACGTGGCGGAGCCAGCTCCAGCTCAGGGTCAGCATGTGGTGGGCTGGGCGGTGACACAGGCTCCAGCTTGCCTGCCAGGCTACGGTCCTATGGGTGCACAAGAGCAGAGTTGGGTCATGTGGGATATCCTAGTCAGCTTGGCACCACATATCAGCTTTCCAGCCACAACTCTGGGCTCCAACACACCAGCTATCCACCCAGACCAACCCCGTGGTCACAGTGTTGTGTATGGATCCTACCTGTCCTCCTGGTCCTGGTTGGCCAACCCTCCTGCCTAACTCTGCATGCCCTCTGCAGGCACACAGCACAGTCCATTGCAAACAGGTCACAGGCCCTGAAAAATGCATTAGTAGGCTCTTCGGAAAACACATGCACCGGAGCCAAGAGAATCCCCAGGGCTCAGAGGAGGCTCCTCACTGACTTGTTCCTTTTTTTTTTTTTTAAGTGCTGGGGGTCAAACCCAGGGCTTCCTATATGCTCAGGGAGTGCTCTATTACTGACCTCTTCCCTAGGCCTTTTTTTATTTTTAGACAGGGTCTTCCTATATTGCCTGGGCTGGCCTTGAACTTGAGGTCCTCCTGCCTCAGATTCCCACATGCTGGGATGACAGTCCTGTACCACCAGGCTTGGTTCTTTTTAATCTAGGAACTTTTTGGACTTCCTTCATGGGGGGAGGGTGTCACTGAGGGTTACTCTTCCCTAAAGACCCTGGCTGACTTCCTGTCTCACACAGGGTCCTGTACTGGGCTCCTCTGTCATCTCTTTAGTACTCCACCTAGAGTCAGGGAACCACCCAGGCTGTACTGGGACACTCTTGCGACACGGAAGTTAGGGAAACAGCCCAGTCCTCACTTGTACAGCCCTGGCTCCACTCTTAGCCCACTCAGCCACACTCAGCTATGTGACCTCAAATCATATCAGTGGTCCTCCGTGCCTCAGCTTCCCTGTCTATACCATGAGGAGAGACAGAATGGTTCCACCTCCATGGTTGTTACGGGCCTTAGTTAAGTGTCCAAAGCACTTAACTCAGAGCCCAGCACACTGTACACACTGTATAGCACCATGCTGACTGTCCTGTCCCCGCCCAGTTGGGCCAGCCCTGACCTGCTCTGCTCCACTCCCCTCTGGGCCAAGGCAGCAGCTGCTGGCAGAAGAGGCCAGGCAAGGCCAGCCACAGCACCCCACCCCCACACAGCTGCACCCCGAGGACACAGAACACTTTATTCCTGGAGACAACTGCATCCCAGGCAACCAGGTGCCCTCCAGTCTGGGGACTAGCAGAGCCCATGACTTCTATCCACCTCCCTCTTTAGAGTCCCTGTCCCCATCCTCTTAACAAAGCACTGCACCCCTGGCCTCACAGCTGTCAACTGAAACACAGGGAAGGGGGGGGCATGATTCATTGGGGTAAGAGACCCCAACGGCTCCTCCCAATAGAATCCTACAGGGAACTCTCTCAGGTCTCAGAACAGAAGGTGGCAGCAAGCATAGTCCCCAACCCCAGTGACCCTGTCCTCTCCTGTGTTCTACTCCCCATGATCAGAAGGGAGGAAATTAGAGCAATACAGTCAAGAATTGTGGGGTCCAGGCACCCTGAAACCACGAGCCAAACCATTCCTGCAGCCCAGAATAGACTCGAAAGTCATGCCACCTAAAGAAGAACCCCAAGGCTGGGACAACACCAGTCATGCCACGTGGCTGAGCCCCACTTCCTAGGGCCAGCTAGATGGGACAGTCTTCCAAAATGGCTCATACTTAGAACTAGGCATGGAATTACACCCACCCCCACCCAGTGCAGCCACACAGCAAGTCCCTGTCACCTGCAGGACCTGGCCTACTGTCCCAGTCATGAAATGGATGAAGCCCTGACATATGCTACCATATGTAATGGGCCATAAGAACAAAGTCCATAAACTGAGACATGATCACAGGAATCATTCAGAAGGGGGAAATCCACCCACCAAGACAGAGCAGGTAGGCAACAGGGCTGGAAGAGGCTATGTGAGTGACCCCTTAATGGGTGGGGACCCTTCCAGAAGAATGACAGAAGCAGGCCAACAACATGACTATTCTCGCTGCTGGCTTCACAGGGAGCAAGCCAATGGTGGGAGCACTGGTGCCCAGCGTCCCATGACCTTCTGAGTGACAGATGACTGACTACCTGTTAACTCTCCAGTGAACACCAAGCCTAAGGACAGGCAAGCCCCAACATAACCAAGTCATCAGGCTGCAGTTTAGTCTCTTTCCCCTTCAGACAGACTTCTCCCCGTCAGTCAGACTCTTTGAGTCAGCCAAGCTTTCCTAGTCAGTCAGACTCTCCTAGTCAGTCAAGACTCTCCTGGTCAGTCAGACTCTCAGGGTAAGTTCTCCCCAGTCACATGCTCTACCCTAGGGTGCTGCCTAGGCAGAAAGTTTTAAGGCAGCCATGAGAGAAATTCACTTTGTAACATAGATGCCAAGATTGCAAAAGCCCCAGGGACAAAACCTGAGGCTGACCCTGCCAGCTCCAGAAGGGTGTGTGGTCAGCAAAGCTACAACAGCGGGTTCCAGGTCAGACTTGGAAGGAAGAGCAGGGCAGGCTGGAACAGCAAAGTGGGGAGGGAGGGCCACTTTCTGATAGCCTTGTACCTGGAGGAGGGCTAACCAGAGTCACACAAGGAGACCAAACCAGTTGGGAGAGGGTGGCCAATGTGAGGGTGTGGTGATGTCAGTCACCAGGATTGAGCTCTGCCAGAAGCTACCAAATCCTGGACTTCAGTATAAGAGCTACAAGAGCTGGGGTTCATGCTTAAGCCAGTGTCCCAAGGCCCCAAGAACTGAAGGGACTTTCAGAGAAAGTCTGAAGACTCCTAAAACAAAGCTCAGTGAATTCCAAAGGCACTTGGAGGCCTGAGCAGGAGGGTATGGCAAAGCAGAACACTGGGTGGAAAAACAGTATGTGGTAGAGATGCAGAAACTCTCCTCAAATCCCGGCTCTGCCTCCAGCTGGACCTCTCACAAACCACGTGCACTTTACAGGGCCACAATAAATTCCATCCACATCTACTCAAACTCAGTGTTCCAGCAGTCAGCCAGGAGCCTGGCTCAGCTCAGCCAGGAACAGGGGAGAGAGGGACAGATGGTAGGAAGAGGAGAAGTAGAGACAGAGAATAAGAGATATAGGAAACAGGACAGAGAGACCCCAAGGAGGAGACAAGAGCAGCCAAGCCACAGGAAGCCTCACTGGGTGGCTGTGAGGACAAGACCCTCAGAGGAGCCCCAAGTTGGGATTCAGTTGCTCTGGGGACCAACTGGTGGTAGCAGTGGCTGGACAGGTCCCCAGAGGCACAAAGCCCAGAGCTGGCCCTAACCTGTTGTCCAGCTAACAGAAGCTAGATGAGTCCCCAACATAGGTACAAAGCCCAGAGTTAGCTGTGACCTGTACCTGGTGGCAGCAGAGGTTGGATGGGTGGGTCCCCAGAGGGCACAAGGCCCCAAGCTGGCCCCAGTCTGCTCTCCAGCTATAGAGGTCTCCTGCCCTGAGGCTGCTCATAATCTCTCCTGCATTCTACAAAGCAGGGAGGGTAGGTTCAGGGATAATGGGAGCAGGGGGTTCCTAGGTAAGGAGGGAAAAGTCCCCTGGGTGCCCCAAGGGGAGCAGGACAGGGCTAGCCACAGAGCCAGCTGACTACCTGAATCCCAACCCTGACTTCCAAAAAGGGGTCCTAGGTCAGCCCCAACAACTGAGAAGACTTTGGCAGATGTCAGGCTCAGCTGACACTCAGTGTTAGCTTGTCATTTCTACAGTCTTCCTGGGTGCTGATCACCCATACAGGCCTTACCTGGCTCTAGAGTTCCTCAATTCAGCCCAGGGGTGCCAGGCAGGAAGGAGGACTCTACTCTACTGGCCTAAGTGGCCACTCCCCTCCAGGCCTGGTCCCTAGTCCCCCATTTAGCAGTAGGACTGTCACTGTCAGCTGCCCATCAACACTGGAACCAGTCAGTCTCCTTGACTACTGGAGATGAGGTAAGCCTCTATACTGTACATGCATGGGGAAAGCTGTCCCCAGCCAGCCAGAAATAGCCACTGGTCACTCACCCCACCCTGGTGATACCACTCATATGACCCAGGACTTCTGAGGAATATATGATGGGGAAGCAAAGGAGGTAACAGTTCAAAAGGGCAAGAAGAAAGGAATGGATAGACACGGATGAATGGATGGATGGATAGATAGATGGATGGACGGACGGACAGACAGGGCAAATCAGCTGTGGGAAGGGATATATAACAACAGGGCAGGGAGGTAACGGAGGTAGGCAGGCAGGTATAGGACAGATGGACAGGCAACTAGGGCTGGAGGATGGGCAGTGGAATGGCAGATCTGGGGGAGGGAGGAAGAGGGAACAAGCACAGGGCAAAAGAAATGTTAGAGAAAAAAGAATAATATTTGGGCAGGAAAAAGGGAGGCAGTAGAGAAGGTAGAGGGAGACGCAGGTCATCCATCCCCAACAGTGCAAGGCTGGGGGAGGACCCAGCATCTATACCTGTCCCAAGACAGACCCAGTGTGGTAGGCAGAGCTCCATGCCAGGCAGATGCCACAACATCCCATCAAGGGCTCTCAATACAGATGGCCTTGGGACCCCACTGCCATCAGTCTAGCCAAGCTATTAGAGAGGAAAGGGGACCAGGCTAGGGTGCCAGGGCCTAGGGGTGGGGCCAGGGGCCATGAGGCTGGTTTAAGAGCCATAATGGGGCTTCAGGGGGCTGGTAGAAGATGGGCTCAGGGAGGTAACAGGGCTGGGTCATCCCAGATCTGAGAGTGTAAACTTGAAGGATCTGGACTTTTTCCTGCCTGAGGGGAGGTTTGGTGTATGGACAAGATCCAATTGCAGGGAGGGGCAGAAGCAGGCAGTGGGGAGAGGTGAGGGAGGCCAGTGCACAGTTCAGCTGAGTGATGGTGGCACAGGGAAGCATGTATGTGCCAGGGTGGGGTGTGGGTGCCAGCTAATGGGCTAAACAGAGAAAAGGGAATGAAGGGGGAGGAATCTGGGGGCAGCAGAGAGGACAGAGCTGCCTGTGATGGGGCAGGTCAGTCTGTAGGTCTGCTAACTGACCACCACTTTCCAGGGATAGATGGGAAGATGGGGCCTACCCCAGTGGCAGGGAAGTCAAGTCCACCTATGTTTCCTGGTATCTCTAGCAACCTCCCCCTACCCTACTAGGTCATCCTGCAGACACCTGGCAGGTAAGCAGGGGACATAGCAAGCTGAGCAGGCAGAGGAGGCTAAGGATGGGCTGCAATCCTGCAACATTACACCAAGAACATCCCAGGGCCCAAGCCAGTGCTACCCCCTTCCAGAGGCTGGAGTTTGGTGCCATCATCTGGTTCAGTTTACCACCAACATCCTTAAGGTACATGCTCACTGAGCACCTCCTATGTGTAAGGCTCACAGTCAGACTCTAATCCATGCAGGCTGAGTGACTTAGGGTTGGTCTGGTACTGTCCCTGATTAGTAAGGTACAAACAGGACTCAGAGACACAAGTCCTTCACCTGGGGTAGCACAGCAGCAAAGTAGGGGCAAGAAAATACACAGAAGGCTTAGATCAAACCCAGCTTGGTATCACAGGCCTATTGTTATAGAAATATTGTGGGAGCAATTCAGGAGGCTGAGGCAAGGTTGTGACTTCAAGGCCTGCTTGTATTACCCAGTGAGTTCAAGGCCAGCCTGAGCAATTTAACAAGCTCTTATTTCAAAATAAAAAGATGGTGATGACATGGCTTGGTGGTGAAACACTGGTGGTAGAGCTCAGAGTCAGGCTCTGAGTTTCATCCCCAGCACCCTAGGGTGAGTGAACACACAGGGCAGAGCTGACTGGACTGCAAAAAGCCCCCAGTGGGAACAGAGCCCACCCTGACACTTCCCTGGGGTCCCTCGGGCCAACGTGGCTACACACACAGACCCACCTAATCCGGCTGGCACCCCAGGAGCAATTGGATCTGGGCAGCAGGAAGGTCTGTCAGTCCACCAGGGGCTCTTAATTCCAGGTCACACATGACGAAGTACCATCCCTGTCCTATCTCACCTCAAGGGACCCTAGAGTCCCCTCCACACCTCTCAAACATCAGCAATCCTAGATGCTGAGTTAGGGTGCTGTGTGGATCCTGAGGGGTCCTGAACAACTATTCTATATAAGCTATTACCCCTGTGGCTCAGCCTGATAAGGTGGATATAGAGCCCTGTGATAAGGTGGATATAGAGCCGACCTCATACCCATCAACTCCCAGCTCTGTTCCAAGGCTCTGAAGGGACCTCACCCCAACTCCCCTTTCATTTCAGCCAGTGACAACAGCTGCAGGCTCAGTCCTACACAGGCCCTTAGCACACACTCCTGCTGGCTAGGAATGCCTTCCCCAGTTCCTCCCATCACCCCATGCTTATTCTCATTGCCTGACTGCAGTTCCATGTTCACTCAGTCACACACTTCTGCCTAAGCTGTCCTCTGTCTTCGCACCCAGCCTCTGTCCATCTCCCACCTCTGTCCCTGCCCCATACCCTATCCTGGTACTATCCCCCGGCAGCAGCAGTAGCCCATGAGCGGGTCTAGGCCTTACCTTGGTAAGGTCTTCAGACCCTCCAGGCTGTCCCGTGGCCAGCAGGGGCGATGGGCGCAGCAGGGTGTCAGGCAGCAGCTCCAGGCGTGGGCGTTTGCTCTCTGTGAATTCTATGTCGGGCTTGCCCAGCTCAGGCAGGAAGGTGCGGGACTCGGGGCGCAGATGGAGCTCCTGGGTCCTATGGGAGGCCATGGACACACATCACATAGGAGACTCATGTCCAAGACTCCAGATGCTCACCTGAGTACATACAACGAGTACCCCCTTACAGTGAGGTGGGACCCAAGCGACTCTTCCTCTTCCTTAACAAGAAGGAACAAAGTTCTGATGCATGAGGCCCTACAGTAACTGACTAGCCTGTACTACTGAGTATGGCCTGGCAACCCCACAGCCCTTCTGAGCTTGTTAGAATATAGAACCTGAGTCCTACCCCATTGCAACTGAGCAAGACTGTATTTTCACATGACCCAGGTAACTCTCAGGCACAGTAAGAGAAGCCAGCACACCAAACACTAGTTCCTTCTCACCTTCCCAGGGCAGGTATCACTAGCTGATCACAACATTCTTGCTGTTAATCCTGGCCTAGTCAACTTCTCAAGCCATCCCAGCAGGCACAGGGACCTGTCAGCCTGTGGCTCCTGATCATGCTTCCCAACCATGGGCAGATGGACATAGCCACCTCCTCCACCTCCCCATTCAAGTCCACAGCCACTCCTGCATGGGAGACCACAGCCTGTCATGGCCTTGGGATGCTACTAGGGCAAAAGGTACAGGTAAGGGCTCAAGCCTGACCACCTGCAGCTTACCCACCAAGAGCCTCACGCATGTACCTGACTGACAGCTCCACAGCCTGGGCAAGGAGCCACAGCCTCTCCTCACCTTTCATTCCCAGGCTGGAACTCAGACAGCAGTGAGGGTCGCCTCCTCTGTGGCTGGATGATGGAGCTGGGTGACAGATGTGAGGCATAGTCTCGAGGGTGATGCTGGTACTCAAGTAGCCCCACATCCTGAGGGAGAAAGGGAGGAATGAGCAAGCACAGGGGGCAATGGCAGCACCCTTGCAACCTAGCACCAAGAGGTCCAGAGTTCCCAGACTACACCCTCCAGCCACAGGTAACACAGTGATGTTCCCACCATCCTCTAAGGCCCAGATCAGCCGAAAGGAACTGCTAGAGCACCCTTCAATGCACAGGAGGGTCACAAACTACTATGCAGGACCCTCCATGGCTTATCTTCCCACACAGGCCCTCTGGGACCTGCAATGCTCCTGCATTGCACCTGTTTCCCAGCTGGCACCCCTGAGCCCAGACAGTTTTCAAGCACAGCCCCTCCAAAGCCACAGGCTGGTGGCAGAACAGAAGTCAGCTTGCAAACTCCACCTTCACCACTGCCCACATCTGCCAGCTGCTGGCTTGAAGGGAGGACCACACAAGTGGAGAGGAGGTCATTGATCCCTGGTCCCGAATACTGATGCAAGGCCAAGAGGAGCACAGCTGGCAGCATCCTTTGTAGAAGAAAGCATCAGCCTTCAGCAGACCTAAGCACTCGCCCTAGCAACTCTGTGGACAGGTGTCCCAGAGGGCCAGGCTTCAGCACCAAGGGGAGGGAAGGATGGCGTAGTCAGTGTCAATGTACCAGTACCAATATGGCAAGCACTGATGGTGGCCATGTCTCAGACCCCTGCCACCATGAGAAAGAACAGCTTGCACACAGAGCTTCAGGAGAGGACCCAGGCTGCACTCCCTCTTTGAGCAACTTCATGTCATGACTTCACAGGTCTGACCACTCTTAGGTTGGGCTTGTAGGTAAAGAAGGCCTTGACCTTGACGCACCCTTACAGCAAAAGTTCCAAAGAGTGGGTGCACAGCAAATCTCCCAGCCTTTGAGTCTCTGCTCAGTGCCCCCAGGGAACCCTCACTGCTCATGGACACACTTCAATTTTACTCAGTCTTAATCTGGATCACACAAGCCTAAATAAAGCCTTCTTACATTTTCAAAACAAGGGCCAGGATCACCCTCTTTATAATGGGGGGAGCGGGGAGATATGAGATCAAGACAGAGACAGATAAAAAGAAATGCCCAACTCTTTAAGGAAAAAAGAAGGGCTTCTACCTGGACCAGCCCAGTTAGTTCTGCATGCCTGGACATTTGCTTATACTATATGGCAAAAAATTAGTAATGTCAATTAGTGATATCTGACCTGGGTCCGGCTGCAGAGAGCCTGAACTATAAGTAACTTAGTCCCTCTTGCAAATGTTATTGTCTTTTTCGGTTACTTTTTGTTTGGGTTTGCACTGCTGTAATTGTTCCCATTTTCTCTAAAAATCTTTTGTTGTCTTTACGTTTTAAAGCATTATTATTGTACAGAATCAGATGACAGCAGACAGGTGGACTAAGAATGTGTACACAGACATGTAGAAGCCTCTGGAACCCTGACACCAGAGGATGAACAACCAGGAAACCTTAGAGACTGGACCCTGCAGGGAAGACCTCACAGAAATGATCCTGAAAAAAGACCCTGTGCAAAGGATTCCCCAGGAAGGTCCCATGGGAACGACCCTGCAAAAGATCCTGTGGGAAGAACCAGCAGAATCCTCAGAGAGGACCCTAAAGGCAGTACTCCAGGGAGGTTCCATAGGCAGCTAGCCTGTGTGAACAGAAAGCAGCTCAACGCAGGGCTATGGCACCTGTGGACATGTCCTCGATCCCCTGGGCCTCAGTCTGCTCCCTTCTGCTTAGATGCTCCTACCTGGGACCCCCAGAGCCGAGGACAGCAGCCTGCACAAGGTGGGAAAGGCTGAGCCTCATTGGGTGTCCCATGGCACCTGACACATGGCAGCAGGAGCTCACTAGCAAACACAGAGTACATAAGGAGTACTGCAGAACTGAGGGGGCGGGGTATGGAACCAGCTGTGGTTCAGAATTCCTGTCGGAGGAGGGGGGAGGGGGAGGGGAGGGGAGGAGGAGGGGGGAGAAGAAAGAAGAAAAGGAGGTGGGAAGAGATGAGGATAAAGAGGAGAAGGAGGGCAAAAGGAGGAGGAGAGGAAGAAGGGAAGAGAAGGGGAGGAGGAGGAAAAAATGAAGGGAGGAAGGGAAGGAGGGAGGGACAAAGCAGCATCCAGGCTGCTCCCACCCTCAAGACAAGCAGGAAGAGGTGGCTAGTACATGGGTTCCACCTCAGCTTCCCAGCCTGGAGTTTCAACACGGAGGACCACGGCCTTTCCTGCAGCCTCCACACCATCTCCAGCCCATGACAGGGCCTTGAGGGCTGAACCTCGGAGCATCTCCAAATGGGGCCTGAAACTTTGTGGAAACAAGAGCTGGAGAGGGGTAGGGCCCATGAGGTCATACTGGGGAGATGGGGGCGCTGAGAGCAGAAGCCATAGGCAATGGCAACATCAGCAGCAAACAATAGTGTCCAATGGTCCATCTCAGGTCCCTGGAGCCAAGTCTGTGCACACGCTGACTAATGTAGCCCCCTCCAAGGCAGTCACGCAGGGAGACTTTGTGTGTGGTCAACACAAAGAGGAGGCAACAGGCCCAGCAAGCAGGAGGGGCCCCGCCAGGTCACCCAGCAAGAACATACAGATCAGTAGTGCAGACCTGGTTCAGCTGGCTTTCTGCAGACAAACAGGGCAGGGAGAGTCACAGCACTGAGCTCACCAGCAGACAGCCACAGCGGGCCTGACTTGGGAGTGGAGGCCTGTCCCAGCTCCTCCATATTTCCAGACCAAACAGAACAAGCAGGGAATCCCAGGTGGCACTCTGCATCAGGGCAAGTCCAGGAAAGTAAGGGACTGCACAAGGCACAGTTAAAGTCACTCCTGTGACCCCAGAGTCACAGATCATTCCTGAAACAATGGGGGTTACCCCAAGAGCCTTACCAAAGGGCCTTTTCACGCACAGCACCTCAGCCTAAAACACTGCTTAAATCAACACCACACACCTGGCCTGCCCTGCCCTGCCCTCGGGCCCAGCTGCAATGTTGGCTTTTCAGACAGCCCCCTATCCCCCAATGCCTCGCCTAACCTCAACCAATCTTTCTTGCTGTTTCCCAAGAGAATGTCTGCTCTCCAAGGCTTCTTCGTCTTCACAGCTCTGTCCCCGGGAGCCTAGAGGTCATCACATGACATGCCAGATCAGCATTTGCAGAACAAATGAATAAGAGAGTGAATAAGTGAATGAACAAGTTGGTGAATAAATGAGTGAATGAGAATGCCTCGCCTAACCTCAACCAATCTTTCTTGCTGTTTCCCAAGAGAATGTCTGCTCTCCAAGGCTTCTTCGTCTTCACAGCTCTGTCCCCGGGAGCCTAGAGGTCATCACATGACATGCCAGATCAGCATTTGCAGAACAAATGAATAAGAGAGTGAATAAGTGAATGAACAAGTTGGTGAATAAATGAGTGAATGAGTGAATGAATGAATGAATGAATGAATGAATGAATGAATGAATGAATGAATGAACAAATGAATAGATAAATGGGTGAACGAGGAACCTGAGGCAGTGCTGTGACCTGTGGAGGTGGCACAGGACCCTCAGGGGCACCCACCTTTCCAGGTCACCAATGTCCTACCTAGCACACAACACAGTCCTGGTAGACAGAGCCAGGCCAAGCTACATGGCAGAATTTGTGATCAACTGGACATTAGCTCTCCAGTCCATCCTATAGCCAAGTCAGCCAAGGCCCAAGGCCAAGGCTAGGGACAGCCAGCTTATCAGGTATCACTGGCACATGGGCACTGACCTGCAAGTATGTGGCTCTCACACCCCTCAGCATCTATTGTTCAGGGACTGGGACAATGGCCTGGGGCCCTCAGAAAGAATGTTGCCCCCTAGGTAATGGGAGGGGGACTAACACCCGACTGTTGGAGAGACAAGAGGCCCCCAAGGGGACCCTAGTTTCATAGCACACTGAGGCCAGCTCAAAGTCCATGTATGACATCACCTCACTAGAACCCCAGAAATTTATAACCTCCTACTTAAATGAAGTGAAAGGGAGGGGCTGTCCAGAAGTCAGGCCTGCTGGAAAGGGTCCCTGGACCTGATCTTCATAGGTTCCAAGGCCCAGGTCACTGGAGACCCAGTTGGCCACCACACCAAGAATTGGAACATGGTTTCTTCAGATGCTGTGCTCCCCAAGGGGCATCAGCCTTGCTGTGTCTCAATTTCCCCTTTTCGATGCCTTCTCATTCACAAGACAAAGATGTTAAGGGAAAAGATGGTCTCTCCTGGCTATGCTCTGCCCATATGTGGGCCACAGGACAGAGTGGGGGGAGGGGGGGTCCACAGGGAAGCTGCAAAAAGGGGTTGGGGAGCTCCAGATCATAGACCCCAGCCCTCACCAAGCCAGCACATAAGGGATGAAGACCTTTCTCCATTAACAATAAGACCCTCTACCTGTCCTGGGGACCAGAAGAGCCTGCTTAGTAGCCCCAGCAGGGGGCTGGAAGCCAGGGAGTAAGTTCCCCTGGGAAGGAGTACACACTCCTAGCACAGCCCTACACAGGGCAAACATGTTCCAACCTGCAACTGTCTCTTCAGGCCACACTCACCCCAGAGGGGCTGGTGACCACTAGGTCCTGTCCAGCCACATCCTGTGTCACTGATGACCCAGCAGGAAAAGGGGAGGTGCCTGGGGTCAGTCAGTGACCCTAAATGCCAGAGAGAGGATATAACTGGGGCAAAGAGCAGGAAGGCAAATGGGAGGGCAGAGGCTACAGCAGCCAGAAGATTTCCTGAGACTGGGTCCATGCAGGGGCGGATGAGGAGTAGCACTAGGAAAGCCAAAGGTATCTGACAGTGGTCCCTGGGGCAGGGTGGGTCCCTCCAGGAAGTGGCAGAGAATGAAAGAGTACACACAACAGTAGACAGGCATAGGAGAGCATGTATGGGTGCTGTTGTGACCTTAGAAGCACCTAGAAAGTGGGTGCTCCCATTACGCCCACTTTATGGGTAACAAAACTGAGGGCTCAAGACACTGAGAAGGGAGTCTGGGTTCCTCATTGTCTCTGAGAACTGCTGTCCTTGCTGTTGGTGACAGTGGTGATGGTGGTGACATATGACAGTCCCCAGTGCCCAATGAGTGGTGGCATGAGGGTGCAGGACCCCCAACACTGCTGTGGCTAACCCTATGGGCAATGGATTGTCTTTTCCCTCCGCCTCAGGTATGCCCCCCCACCTTCCCCAGGGAACATTCTTTCCACTAGGGCTGGGGACACCCTTCACCACAGCTGCCTCTGCACCTAGGCCCACAGCTCTGTACCCTGAGGCCTGGCCCCAAGGCTTATGGGAAAGTACTCCTCACTCACAGGTCCCACACCACTATGGTTCTGTGTCACAGAAACAGACTGTACACCCAGGAAGGAAAGACATACCCATGTACACACATACACAAACAAGCCAATTCTATCCAGCTGTGACTACCAGGTCTCACACCCACTCACTGAACAGCCAGAGACACAGCATACAGTAGGTACACAATAAAGGCCCACAGAGAGAATTTAAACACCCAGCCTATTGCCCACTTTGCAGTAAGAAGCACTGCAGGGAACGGGCCTCCTGCGTGAAATCAGAGAGGAGGATACAGCTCAGAGGCTCTCAGTGGGCCATGGTGGGGGCAAACAACTGCCCTGGGTCTCAAATCAGAGGCATGTGCCAAACCCCAGAGTCTCATATCTGAATAAACATGAAGACAACAAGGATAGGAGGAAGATGGCTTTCACCCGAAACCACATTAGTCCCAAAGCAAGGAAGGGCAGGGGTAATGTACACAGCAGGTACTCCACTGCCCATCAAGAGAAAGGCAGAGGCTCCACTGAGTATGGCCCTAGCCTCCACCTTCCCAAATTGAGACAGTCTTGCTCTGTAGGCTCTGTAGCCCAGGCTGGCCTGAAATTCACTGTCCTCCTGCCTCCACTTTTGGATGCCCTTCTCATCTTTAAAATTGAGATGAGGCATCTGACCTCATATGTCCTGGGCATAGGAAGGGCCTAAGGCTATCTGTGGCCTCTGAGTGGTCCCTACTCCCACATGGAGTCCAGGGCCATAAGCAGCCTGTCTCCAAGAGGGGCAGACGAGTCGCAGAGGTGGTGCTAAGCACACACACCCCTTACCGTGTGTGGCCGGGCAATTTGCACGGGGTAGGAGATGCCATGGGGCGGATAGCGGGGCTCAGCAGCCCGCCACGTCTGTGCCACAGGCTGCGTGGATCCTGACATGGTGGTAAGATCTGAGGGGCTCTGTGGCCCGATACACTCTCAGTTGCCACTAGGACTACAGGCTGGTTCCAGTCATCTGCTGGCAGGCTGCCCTGTGGAGAAAACAAAGAAAACAAGTTGATCTGAAGGCAGCTGCTCCGCACAGGTCACTGTAGCTAGTCCTTCCTCCTGCCCAGGCTGCCTCCACCTCTGGACAGCCTAGAGCCACAAGGCCTGGCCTCCACACCACACACACTATGTGAGGAACAAGCTGGTTCCCTACCAGCCACGGTTTCACATAGTAGGCTCAGGAGCCCTGACATGGATACCATCCCCATGGCTGCCCCAATGGCTCCCACACCCATTCAGCCGGCTACCCAGCTCCCACACCCGTTGGGGCTTTCCAGGTCTCCAGGGCAAGGTTCCCCAAAATCCCCTGGCAGCTCCAGCCCACAGCTGTCGGGGCTGTCCTGGGATGTGTGCCAGCAGAATGGTGCACACAAGTGACCTAGGAGGGGGAGGCCTGGGTCAGCAGGGGTGGCTGAATGACCCAGGCAGAGCAAGACTGCTTGGTCACCCTCCTGTCCCTCAGTCAGAATGACACCATGATGTTGACAGGACCAACATGAGGTTGGTCTGGTGCAAGCTGGGGTCAGGGAACTGGACTCTGAGGGTCACCGTGGGGACAGCCAGGGCCAGATAAGAACATCCTGGGCAGGAGGGTCCCAAACAGTTCCAGGGTGGATCAACAGCGCCTTCCAGCCAGAAGCGAGCATGACTATGACAGAAGAACTAGAAGAGCGCGGCAGCCTCAAAGATGGCAGAACGGGACCCCAGATAAGGAGAGAGGTGCAGAAGTGAAGTCTGGGACTCCGCGGCCTTTCTCCCTTCCCTCTACTAACCTCTCATATAAAACTCTCTTCCCCTCCACACCCTGTACCCCAGAGCAAGGCTGGGGCTGCAGCATAAGTGACCAGGGTAAGGAGGAGACAGGGGACTCCTAGCTCCCTACAGTTTCACTCTGATGTCCCCTTCCCCCGTCATAGCTGGTGCCTGTCCCCCAAGCAGCAGTCAGCCTAGGTCATCCTGTGGGTAGGCCAATGTGGAGGAATGATGGGGGAGGGGTAAAAACCACAGGTGCTAACTGTGCACTCCTCCCCACCCCACCTTCTTCCAGTGTGGACTTGACTTTCCAAACCAGACTCCAGAGTCTTGTGACCCCAGCCTGACCAATCAGATTGCTGCATCCCTTGGAGAGTCTGTGACTGGCTGGCTGACTGAGGGATGAGCAGAGAACTCCATCTTAATTGAGTCCAGTGGACAAATCAGTAGACAGCCCACTTGGTGTCCCGAGAGCAGAGTTGACCCCCTCAGAGCACCCTGGGCAGCGGCAGCTCCTCTGTGTGCTCTGCTTTGATGACCTTGGCTGTCTTGCTGTCTGTCACTTGCCACCAAGAATTCTGTCAAACAGGGAAAGTAGGAGGGGCAAAGGCAGCCGCCCTACAAACAGGGGCTGCATATCTTCTAAACACTGAGTGACAAGGACCCCAGAGCCCCGTATGACACCATGGCTACTTCAGAAGTCATCCATGTGAGACATGTACATGATGCTATGAACACAGGACCAAGAACCATGCTGCTGGCTTGGAGCAGTGTGCCTGTAGAGAGTCTCTTCCCTTCTCACAACCTTGGCTTTATCATCTCCAAACTGTAGATTGTGATATCCCTGACCTTCATGATTAATATGATGGCGCCAATGCAACGTACCGTGATTGTGCCACACACAGAGCCCAGGCCCACCCCATCATATCATACACTATGTGCTCTTCAAAGTCCATCCCTTTGCTTCAGTGAGAGAAGCACCAGACACCCTTGCACACAGAGAGGTGCACGAAGCAGGAGAGTCAGAAGACAACATAGCCGGGGCCAGGGCTTGGGCTTGTCCTCCAGCTTCCTGGGAGGCTGACATCAGAGGATTGCAAGTTGAGGGCCAGCCTGAGGAACTAAGAGAGACCCTGTCTCAAAATAAAAAAGTAAAAAAGGGGGGCTGGAGAGATGGCTCAGTAGGTACAAACACTGGCACCTCTTGCAAAGGACCTAGGTTCCCAGCATTCACATGGCCGCTAACACCTGTCCATAATTCCAGTTCCAGGGAATCCAATGCCCTCTTCTGACTCCATGAGCATTGCACATACATGCAGACAAAACATTTATACACATAAAATAAAAATAAACTAAAACTAAATTTTTAATTACTTTTTTTATTATTCCGAAGAGAGGCAATTTTTAACACATTTTTCCAGAAACAACTTGAAGCAGGTTACATAAAAATATATACACAATGAAGTTTAAGGGGGAGGGGAGAATAGAAATAAGAAATCAAAGACCAAGGTATTTGGTAACATGGAGCCAACTTTGGTGGAATAATGAAGGTTTCCATTAGCTCTGGTTTTTTTGTTTGTTTTTTTCAAATCCTAACGAGTTTATTGAGCTTGCTAACAGAGTATAGGGTGGGGGTTTATTTACAGAACAGTGCCCCCCCCCAAATAAATTTAAAGTGAAAAGGGCTGGGGATATAACTCAGTGGCATAGCACCTGCCTAGAATCCCTCAGTAAGGGGCTGGGTTTTGGCTCAGTGGGTGAGCACTTGCCTAGAATTCCCTAGTGAGGTGTTGGGGGCATGGCTCAATGATAGAACACCTGCCTAGAATTCCCCAGTGAGAGGTTGGGGGCATGGCTCAATGGTAGAACACCTGCCTAGAATCCCCCAATAAGGACCTGGGGTTTGGCTCAGTGGTAGAGTGTCTGCCTAGAATCTCCCAGTAAGGGGCTACGGTTCAGCTCAGTAGAAGAGCACCTGTCTAGAATCCTTCAGTAAGGGGCCAGGCGCATGCTCCACCACAGAGCTCTTGCCTAGAATACTCCATTGAAGGACTAAAAGCATGGTTTGGTGGTAGAATACCTGCACAGAATCCCACCACCCCTCCCTGTGAGGGGCTAGGGATGTGGCTTAGTGGTAGAGCACCTGACTATAATCCTCCAGTGAGAGGCTGAGGGTGTGACCAGGCAATAAGTACTTGTCTAGAACCTCCCAGTGAAGGGCTGGTGGAGCCAACTTTGGTGGAATAATGGTCCAGAAACAGTAACTGCCTAGCATTCACGAGGTCCTGGGTTAAATTCCCAGCACATACACAAAATTTTTCAAAAGACAAATGCCAGGGGCTCAGTAATAAGAGTGCTTGCTGCTAAGCTAGGTGTGGTAGTGCACGCCTTTAATCACAGCACTTGGGAGGCAGAGGCAGGTGGCTGGCTCTCTGTGAGTTTGAGGCCAGTCTGGTCTACATAGCAAGTTCCAGATCAGCCAGGGTTACATAAGACCCTGTCTCAAAAAAATAAATAAATAAAATAAAAAGCATTTGTTGCTCCTCTAAAAGACATGAGATTAACTCCAGCTCCAACACCTTCTAGGTTCTGTGGGCACACATGCACACAAAGTAAATATATATATATATCAAAAACATAATAAAAGACTAATGCCAATTGTACACAAGAGGACCTCTACTGCATACCTGCCTCCTAATCCCCCGTGTGCAACATACTTCTGTTACTGTCTCCATCACTACTCCTGTGCCTGCCACCCAGATACTACAGCCAAACACAATTACCCTGTGGCAGGAGGAAGAGAAGCCCCTTCATGGAGGGCAACATGGCAGAGAGGAGACACTGGCCTCTGGAGAGGGAGAGGGAACCAGATCCAAGCCTGTTCCCAACACTCCCAGCCTGCTTCCAGACCTGTCAGGGTCTGCAGCCTCACCCTGGCATAGCACACAAACCCCACCTCCAGGTTGACAGGGCTTGTATCTCTAGAGAAGCAAGACCATCACGTGTTCAGCACTGTGTGCACAGTGGGTGGCCTCGAAACTGCTGTTTGATTTGGGGCTTGGGGGTGGTGGTAGAAGCAATCCACACTATCTACCTCTGAGCCTGTGGAAATCCTGGCACAGGCTGTGAAGGCAGAGGTCACCTCTCCAAGCCACCCGTGGGAACCTCACACCTCAGCCCGGCATGGCTGGCTTCCCACCCCAAGGCTCACACAGTGTCCACTATAACACCCAAGGTCATTCTACCAGCCCCTACCAATGTCTTCATAAGCAGGGTGGCCCCAAAGCTGGGGATTCTGGGGACCCCATCTCCTCTTTACTACGAGCTTAGCCAACGCACTTAACACTTCCCCCTCCCTCAGTCTTGTTACTAATGTAGCCAACTCAGAAAAACAGAAAAAAAAAATAGGAAAACATTTTGGCAGGTACTCAAAATTCTAAACATAGAATTACTGAGAGACCTGGCAATTCCACTCAGGCACAGACCCAAGGAACTGCAACAAGGACTCTGACAGACATGTGAGAGTGTTCAGACGAGCCCCATTCCCAACAGTCACAGATTACAAAAGTCCACCAGTGTGGTCTGCCCATTCAGTGGAGTACTACTCAGTCATAAAAAGGAGTTTGGGGAACACAGACCACACTAGATGACCACAAGGACATCATAGTGAGTGACAGGAGTTGACACAAAGCCACACTATATGCAACCAATTCACACAAATGTCCAAAACAGACATAGTGCAGAAAGGAGGCAGAGGGATGCCCAGGTGAGGGAAGGAGGCATGGGGAAGGCACAACTTCATAGTGCTGGGTGTCACTATGCACAACGGGCAGGCTTTGGAACAGTCATGGGAGCAGGACAGCAGAGTGCTCCAGGGAGGGAGCACTGCCATAGCAAGAGACCAGAGTCACTGAATTAGATGGGAGGAAGTCACAGCCCCACAGAGAGACAGAGATAGACTGTGTTCTAGGAGCAATGGGGAAGATGCTGGAAGGACAGGTGCAGGGTGCTTTACATGGGCAGCACACCTGGGGACCTGCTGCAAATGTCCAAGCAAGAGACAGACTTTGGGATTGGGGAAATGGCAACTGGGAAGAGGAAGTGGGTGGATAGCAGAGTATCAGGAAGAAGGGAGGCTGCAGTCTTTCAAGCAGCTTGCAACAGGGAGGGGGCACCTTTACACACATTACCAGAGTGACTGTAGCCTGCAGATGGCAAGGTTTGGGCCACT